TTACTTGCTGCACTCTCACCCTTCATCACCAGAATTCTTTTGCATAAGCTTCACTCCCACACCCCACAATAGAAACACAATTTTAGGTTAACAAAAAAATGGATAGACAAACACCCTTCTTTATTCTTCTTCCCCTTGTTCAAGAGTATCACCTCCACCACCCACAAGAAAATTGGCAAAAAGGTCATTTCTTTGGGTGAGTATCTGTTTTTGAGGCTGCTTTCCAAAAAGTCCTAAAGGCTTTGTTGTATGTAGTAGTAGAGAAGACTGTTATTTCCCACTCAGTGTTGTGGAAATAACCCTCATAAATTGTAAATCTTTGTTCTTAGATCAGATTTTCCAAAACTCAATGAAGGAAACTTTTCCAAGCTGTCTTCACTTAATTCCTTATCTTCTTCTTCCAGCAATGAATGGGGCAGATGTTATGTTAAGTAGACAAATAATGTGAGTAGTCAATTACATTGGCAGTGTCGATCGAAGCAACCCGAAGTCAGAAATGACTAAAAATAAAAGGGATTTCCCATTCTTTAACCTTACAAAACGAGAAATATCTTCTCCCCTTGCTACTAAATTGGACCAGACAGTGACAGGACTGAGCATATGACAATGACAACCACTCAACTAAACTGTAAGATGAAAAATAAAAAGGCATACTAATAATCTCTATTCCTTGGAGGATTTGTTAATGAGTGACTTGTGGATGTGGGGGATGACGCCTCCACCAGCAATGGTTCCTTTAATGAGTGTGTCCAGTTCTTCATCTCCTCTAATTGCGAGCTGCAGATGCCTTGGTGTTATACGCTTCACCTTTAGATCCTTGCTAGCATTTCCGGCCAGCTCCAACACCTCTGCAGTCAGGTACTCCAAGATAGCTGCTGTGTATACGGCTGCTGTAGCCCCAACCCGTCCATTTGCGGCAACCCTTGTCTTTAGTTGCCGGTGAACCCTTCCCACTGGAAACTGTATCATCCACCCATCCAACACCATACCCAACAATGAGAAAAATGTGAATTTTAATAAGAAGACCCCAACAAAGCATTTTCAAATCCTGCTAACCTTTCACTGAAAATACTAGAAAGTCATCTCAAGAACACTTTCAGCAGTTATGCCTTATGATTGTTAACTTTGGTGGCAAAATTTTGGCAACATACTAATGCAAAGCAGAAGAAACAATCAACAATATTGAAAAGAAAACATCAAAACCGCAATGTACACGGAAAATGACAAGCTAGTAGTAGTTCAGAAGATATACAGCAAGAAGGGCTTAGAGAATTCAGGCACCTACAAGCGCACCAGTTTCTACTTACAAACTTATCAACCACCACATCTTCATCTTTACCAGTGACATTTTTTTTATTCACCCAGTCCATCATAAGTGGTATACTGATCAGACGGAAAAAAAATTGATTAAGAAGAAAACAAAGAGAAAGCAAGAAAAAATGAGTGGCAAAACTCAATAAAGGAATAACAAGATAGATATAGTATGTATGTAACACGCAACACTAGCTCCTTCCTCATTGGAGTGTGACATTACCAGCAAAAAGAACGAGAGCCTCACCAGGAACGAAGAAAGAGACTCTTCTCTCTCTCCCTCTCCCCCTCTTTTTTTTCTTTTTCTTTTGATAAGGAGACTCTCCTCATTGATGTAGTAGAAATCATATAAAAATCTAATATTCCCTCACAAGGAGTTTATAGGAAAGCACTATTGAGTCAACATGATCAAGGTTTTCACTCTAACAATTCCTAAACAGACACCACAAGGCAGAAAATAGCCCAGGGGTCGAGATTACTTTTTACACGATACTGATGTGATGATTATCCAGTCGCTTGAAAACAAGAAGTTCAGGGAAGAATGGGCTATACATACTCAAGACCATTCAGGAGGCACTTGATTATCAACTTACCGAAAGAAAATTGAAATTCCCAGACTTCTCCAATCTCCAAAATTCTTCAACTGAAGTTTGCATTTTTCAAACATTAAATTCCAATTCCAAGATGCCCCAGGTCTAAAGGAGTGGGAGACAATTTTCTCCATCAAGATATAGACTTTGCCATTCAAAATTCCTTATAATATTTTCAATCAACACTATGGTGGTAGAGAATTTATAAAATGAAGCAGTGTAGAAGAATATTGGATAAAACAGCTTGCATCTCCAATCTATTTCGAAAGATACAAGTCTCAATTCCCATAGCTTTCCACAGCTTCGTCAGTCGCTAGGTTCACACATATTCTGACTACCCCAAGACTTGTAGTCCTTCAGCAAAAAAAAAAACATAGCATGAAAGTTTCGAAAAACAATTACTGCCGAAGAAAATGTAGCCCCATCCCCTAATCTAACAAAATTTCTGCAAAAATGTAACAGCCCAAGCCCAAGCCCAAGCCCAAGCCCACCGCCAGATATTGTCCTCTTTGAGATTTCCCTTTCGAGCTTCCTCTCAAGATTTTCAAAACATGTCTGCTAGGAGAGGTTTCCACATCCTTATAAAGAATGTTTAGTTCTCCTCTCCAACAGATGTGGGATCTCACAAAAACATTGAACATACTCTAAAATTCTCTTAATACTTGACTTCATTAACAAAGAAAAACAGACGTGTCTCATATTAGTTCAACAGACACTATTTAGACCTTGACCTTCCTCATCTAATTGAGAGAGAGCTTGTTTTCTACACTAATAACATCCACCACATTTTCTAATACCATGACACATACGTTTTCTACATACAATCCATGTTCCACCCTTATTTTGAATGAACACAAAAGCTTAAACCAAAAAGGAGCTACAAAACAAAGAAGAAAAAGATAGCCCAGAGGGAAGTATGAGCTAATACCCACTACCAATGTTATGAACTTAAAAGTGCAACAATATCAGCCTAAGTCTAACAGGTCATTACCGCAGGACAATTTCTCCAACCACCGAAGAACATTGACAAACCGAGGCTCTCAAAAGAAACAGGCTCAAAGGAGGATCACAGAATCACTTTCAAAATACTAGAGACCCAAAGGCATGCACCTACTTCTAACATCAAAGAGAAGGACTTCGAGCTACACCTCTAGAGATTCTCAAACGAACACCTCCTAAATATTCAACAACAGACGATCTCATACAGACGAAACTAACTTAGAACTCACCATACTCATCAAAAGAGACGAAAATAAGAAACAAGTACAAACAAATATAAACTTTGAAACACGAAAATTTAAAACAACTCCTCTCCAAATGTCTAAACACAGAGGCTTGAAAACCTTGAAACGCGTCTAAATTGGAAATTTATGCGTTTGAAATTGACAGGCATGGACCTCAAACAAGCATCATAAATACAGATCCATACAAGAGACACCAAAAGGATGGAAAAATACAAGTGCTGAAGTGTATAGAAAGAGGGAAACCTGGAGACCAGCGCGGGAAGAGCGAGAGACAGGTTTCTTTTTATCTTTGTCCTTGTTGTTGGAGGCAGATTTGCCCATTATCAGACCCTTGGCTCCCTTCCCCGACATTTTTGCAGCCCAAAAATTAGGGTTCCTCTCGCTTTCAGTGAAGAAGGAGTTTGGAAGACGGATTAATGGAAGAGAGAGAGAAGGAAACCGATAAGGGGTGCGACGGCGAGCGAGGTAGATTAAAGTAGTGTACCCTCCCCCCAACCCCCCCCTCGATAGCTCCACGAAGACTTCGAGATTCAGTTTCTCTTACCCTATTTTACCAAAATACCCTTCTCTTTTACCAATATTACTTCCCCATACCTTGTTTTCAGTCCCGCTTTCCCTTTTCCCAAAATAAATACTATATTTTAATTAATTATTATTTTTTAAATTATCTTTCAAAATAAATGCCTCAAAATTCCTTATAATTAATTTTTTAAAAAATAGAAGGGTAGGTGTAACAGTCTAATCCCGTTGTTGTTGGAAGATATTGTCCGTTTTGACCTGTTACGTATCGTCGTTAACTTCACGGTTTTAAAACGCTTTTGTTAAAAAGAGGTTACCGAACAGTTGTGAGGCACTGGTCAGAATAAGATTAGACCCTCTCTATAGTAGATGCGTTCAAAAATTAAGCTTATAATCATTACTTCACACACGTATTTGATCGGGTGGGAAGCAGTTTGGTTTCGTGATCCAAATTATATTACATAGCCTTAAGCAAAGTTTCTATATTTTATTATTCATTTTTATTTTAAAAAAATGATTTTATTTTTAAAAATTAACTAAAAATGCAATTATTTATTGAGATAGGTATAGAAAAATCCGAAGAAAACAAGTATAAAATTTTAAAATTAAAAAAAAAAATCATTATAAAATAAAGACTTAATTTTTTAGTTTTATTTTATTGTGTTTTTAATCGTTATATTTTTTATTTTTAAAAGAACTTTATTTTTTAAGAAAATCTATTATAATAATAATAGTTTTGAAACAACTTTTTAAAATAGAGTCGATTATATATATATATATATATATATATATATATATATAACTCAAAAAAAACAAATGGCGCGGTGGCCCACATTGTAATGGTCGAATAAAAGTTTCCGAAAAATCTTTAAAAAAGCACGCCAGTGGGACCCACGCCACGTCACCCCCAAACCTTATCCATTGTTATTTCCTCTTTTACTCTTTTCCCGCCCTCTCATTTTCCATTCCCGTTATACCCTTCCGGTCAACGCTCACACATTGCCTACAAAATATTTAAACTTAAATTACTAATTTAATAAAAAATCTATTCTGATTTTTTAAAAAATATATATATATATATTTTTTTTTTGTTTTTAAAATACGATTAAAAGTTAATAAATATAAGATTGAAATTTGATAAATGGAAGAACTATTTTTAAATTTTAAGAGCTCTATGGGTTAAATTTGGAATTTAGGTCTTATATTTTAAAACTCGGTAGGACCGATCGGTCAGCCGATTTCACGTGGTTCTGAAGCACCCGATTACAACCTACTTTCCCCACTCGGTTAAATGTCATCCTCCATGTAAATTTCATCAATTAACCTCTTTCGAGCCCTGCATTCTTGCTTGTCTCATCATGGCGACCGATCTTGCCATTTTTCACCCTACACCGATCAGAGCTTCTTCTTTTGGAAAATCTGAACCTAATCGCCGGAAGGCCACCGCGCCGAAGTGGTGGTCTCCGATCTTCGGCTGGTCGTCTGAACCAGACTACGTCGATTCTTCCTCCGCGGAACAGCCAGTTCAGAATGCTAATCCAAAGCTCGATAGTGGACGAGCCAAATCTAGATTCTCGCTTGGATGTTTCACGGAGGAGAAAGCGAAAAATGCTCTGAATGAAAATGCTGGAGAACTCCCTTTCCATGACATTATGTATCATTCGGCGATTGCGTCCCATCTCGCTTCCAATTTGTCGGATCGAAGCAAGAAATAGATCTACGAGCCTTGGCGCAGTGAAGTATTGTATTGTGTTTTCGGAAATCAGTATCTGTGCTGCCTTTTTCTGTAAATCGTCGCAACGAAAAATTTGGGGAAGGAAGTGAATCTTTCTTTCCTAAATGAATTTGCCTCTTCTTTTGCCTTTTAGATCGTGTAGATTAGGGAAACTTCATACCTACAGCAACTATTTTGCATCTCTTTATCGATTGACGACGATTGATTTAGTATTGTTTTTTTGTTATAATCAGTCTATTTGCATCATAGAGACGGTTGCAGATGAATCATACATCTTGATGTTGACAGCCATTGTTAATTTTACGATTAAACAGCAAAGTATTATCTAATGAATTCCCCTAGTGATTTCTACTTGGTGTGAATTTGATTAGATGCTTGAGCGATCATCGTAAGTGGATAATTCACATACTTTTTGAACGGATCTTCATTGTTTAAGTTGGACGGTTCATAAAACCGCGAAGGATATGAATTATATATATATATAAAAGTTTGTTGTGAAATTTGAAAAACAAAACTAATATTTATAAAATCGATTTTAAAAAATAAAATAATTATTAAATGATACCATAATAAATAATTTTCACACATTTAAATTAAAATAAAAGTGGGAGATGATTAGAAGATGCTATTCACAAGTCTATTAAAAATTGATAAATAATGATATCAAAATAAATAATAACAAATAGGCAATCTAAGTGAAATTAATAAAATCCATTTCACTCAAACCACCAATTTAAAAAATTTGGTCTTATACTTAAAAGCCAAATTGATCGATAAATACAAGTCCAATCTATCTTTCAAGTAAAAACACGTTAAGGTAAGAAAACTACCAAACATGTAATAGTAGCAGTCGTCTAAGGGCGTTTAAGATATTTAAAACTATAATAAGTGTTAGATGAAAGTGTCCTACTTTGGTTAATTTAGGGAATAGTCATGGACTTATAATCTAAGGATATACTCTCCATTGGTATGAGGCCTTTTGGGAAGTCCAAAGCAAAGCCATGAGAGCTTATGCTCAAAGTGGACAATATCATACCATTGTGGAGAGTCGTATTCGTCTAACAATAAGTACTAAATTTAAACTTACCCAAAGTCAACCAAAGCTTATCACTTAGCCCACAATTTACTCTCAAAAACAAAAATACTTAATAGCACACATTATATACTTCATAATAATCAAAATGATCATGATGACAATAGCCCACAGAACCTCACCAACCAATTGGCGGTCTTGGAAGTCTTTAAGCATACTATACATGTGGCTTTAAGCTTCAAATTAAATCACTTTCCAATTAATTCATTCCCTAATCTAAACTCTTTTTAACTCCTAGGTACTAATAAATAAATAATAAAAAAACAATAAAAAAATACATGTAATGGGCCACGACCAAAATGATAGGACAACGAACTTCTGTAATGACATGATATGTCTGCATTGAACATAAACTCTCGCGACTTTGCTTTTAATTTTTCCAAAAAAATCTAAACAAGGGAGATAATGTCTCTTACTTAAACCCCTATGATTTTCTCCTTATTCACCAAGGTAGAACTCGAACCATCTTCAAACATAAAGGTCTAAATGCAATAATATATATATATATATATATATATATATATATATTTGGAAAGAAAAAAAACATATTTTATGTCTTTAAGACTCCAACAGTTTCAAAATTTGAAGTATGAGATTTTGTACCTATGAAATTGATAGGCAGTGGTGAAGAAGGAAGCACTTTGCCTAAGAAAAAGCACGAGGGTGGAATCCTATCCTTTACCAGCATCAGCCGCTGACACCGGCTTGAAGCTTGCGTGCAACAATGTGAAAGTTTTGAAGCTCAATCTTCATTTTGAGTTGCACAGCTGCTTCATAAACTGATAATAGGTTGAAGAAACTCAAATCATTAGTGTCAAAGGGGTTTAACTTTAAATCTTCCAAAGCATTTCCTAACAATGACAAATGCAATGCTAAGAGTTAGAAAAGCACCAACATCGAATAGCCGTGACGATTTTGGCCTATTTAGATCTACTATTCTTCTCCTTACCCAGGTCCTTTGTCAACTGATCAAAAGAGTATGAAAGATCATAGCTATCTCTGTTCACAAACAAAAATGTTAGATATTTGATAGACATCACTTAAAAGGGCCGGTTTGGATCGACTTTTTTGGCATTTTAAAAAAATGATTTTAAGCACTTAGAAAGTCAATCCAAATAGGCTACGACGATTGATGGGGACAAGAGACGAGCAATGCAGCCATTGCCCCTCTCCCCCTGAAAAGATCTTTAGCCACCCCAACAGCAGGCCTGTACTGTGTTTCACCTACATTATCAAGAGAGAAAAACAAAACCAAGTGTACAACAATATGGATGAATGTAATGCTTGAGACCAAAAGTAAGAGAAGGTCAGAGAACACCAAGGCAATTGGAATATACAGAAAATTTACTTCAATCAAACCGAAATGAATAGCAGCATTGATCACAGTATAGATATAACCAGTATTTAATTGTAGTTCTACAACACAATACAGAACAATGTGTAAATACTGGGTTTCTTTTTCTTCCCTTCTCCAAAGTTAATTTATTTCAGTTATCAACTTGCAGCTCTACTGGTATCAAACATAGATTAAATTAGACATCAAGAAAGCATAAAAAAGCAAGAGATTACTTATCAAATGGCTTGCTGTAGAAAAGGAGCCAAGTATAATCCATTACCGTTTTGAAACGCTGCAGAAACCCCCCAAAGCCTCCAAAATATTCCATGTCATAACAAGGGAAAGTACCCATATTTTCCTCAACTGAAGTGCCATAGGCTGCCGAGGACATTATATGATTAGAATGTACACACAACATAGCAAGTATACTGTATACCCAGAGAAGATAAGCGGAAATGTAAGAAAGTAAGAACTCTTGACATGAAGAGGACAATATCCTAGGCGCTACCAGCAGACCATATCAGTGTAACAAAAAAGTGATATTGATATTGGCCAAAAAAAAAAAAAAAGGTATTATTAAGAACAAAGAACAGTTCCCATTTCCCAACAGTATATACAAATCAATTGGGTGCTTTCCAAGTTTCCAAAAGAATAAATGTTCTAATCAATCATACGGATGTCCTTTTATTAGCAGACATTAGATTCCTCAGCTCCATCAAATATTCGTCATTAGATATGTGAAGTGAATCACAAATATTCGAAACATGTGCTTCGTCTTCCCAACTTAAAGGTCCAGAAGCATACAATGCCCTAATAAAAGAATGAAATGCACTCAACTCTGACCTGTGGAATCTAGCTAATACTTCCTTATAGGAGCATGAATCTTCTTCCCCATGTCCCCTTCCTGTAGCTGATTCGGCGTCACTATGACAATCCACATCTTCAACATCTTTACTACAACGAGCTACAGAAACAAATGGGTCCTTGAAAAATTCATCAGTGGACCTATTGCTGCCAACAGAAGATGCACAACTATCTGCCTGACTGTGGGTTGAGGTTACTGGAATAAGGTTGCCCTCCCTCAAACCAGCACTGCCTGTAGTGACTTCGACATTTTCAGTACGAAAGGTAGAGCTCAATCTAATTGTGTTCAGCTCTTGTGTTAAGTTCATATCATCCTTTATCCAAGATGAAGGCAAACACCTAACATCTTTCTCAGTGACTTTCTTTGTCTGGACAGATAAATTGTGACTTATGGATTGACTAGGCAATGGCCTCTTTCGACGTCCAGGAAACGTCACCACCAGCTGTTGATCCTTGCTTTTCACCATGTTTGTCTTTGTCTGCTTATTTCTAGACAACGAACCCGAGCCTCCGATGGCCTGCCAAAGAAATAACATATGAAATGATGGTTCAATAATTGTTTCAAGTACAAAACATATTTCAGGAAACATGCAACGACTTCAGAATCCGTAGTACAGAAACAAAGGAAAATAGGAACGATGGTTAACGGAACTTTGTCTGAACTTGTTAGAACATGTACCTTCCCTAGGAGAAACCACCGGCCATCATGCCAAGCCTGTCGCATTCTCAGGTTAGATTGCCCAACCAATACGTCTAATGGTGATCCGAGTAGTCTTACTATATAGCAATGAACACTAACGATCTTCATAATTTTTGCTTGCTTCCACGAGGAATTGTGGAAGGCTTCAGCTAGATCTCCAGCAGCCCAAACATTTGACCCTGCGACAGGAGGAGGACAGGGCCTAATCGCTCTCCTCGGTACCCTCTCCACTGCTTCCACCGAAGATAAAAATCTCACGCTATAAGAACGGCCATTACCAGAAATAATTTCAGCACAACTCCATGAACCACTCGAAACCTCCTTCTGGCTCAACACCTCAACTCGATCCCCCTTCCTTAGTCTCATACTTCCAATGATCCTAATTCTAAACGAATTGCAAATCTGTAAATATCAAAAATCGAAAACGTTTTTTACTCATTCAGCAAGACAAAAAGTACAAATGGAACGAGATAGAATGGAAAACATAAAATAGTAGCAATCAACATATAGAGAGCATTATAACCATAATTTTCCAAATTTGAAAAAGCAGAACGAAACTGTAACCAGAGAATTGAAAACAATGTAGAAAAGCGACGGAATCAAAAGAAGTCAAATGCAGGATTGAAGTAAAAAAAAAAGCTGAATTGGATTTGATTACATGGAAAAATGAAACAAAAACAATACAACCAAAAACGAAAAAACGACGAAAGAGATCGATACCTCGAGAGAAGAATTAAGCGGAGTATTGACAATGCTCTGAATCTTGCCAAGGAATTCTTCAAATTGAGTGAAAACCAAAAACTTTATTTTGATAGAGATTTTACGAGCAAAGAGTAATTCCAAACAAGTTTAAATTCCTAAAGCAATGGGGATATACGGTGGTAGGGACGGTCCCGAATATTTTGCTTTCTAATTTCCTTGGTCGCTTGCTTGCCTGCTCTGTGTTGGCGGCGAAAACCATTTGGGCCTTTGTCCTTCCACTTTCATCTGGGCTTCGGCCCAATTTCCAATCCACTCACCTTAAATTTCTAATATTTTAATATAATATATATATACACATACTAGTCGGTTCAATTTGTTCATGTACTTTTAAATGAAAAAAATTAGTACAAATAAATATTATAGGAAAATTATTCTTATTATTTACCTAATTTAATTGTAAAAAATTAAATTTAAGATTTATTGCTCGAATTCACTTTCGATGCAGCTATCCAACCATTTTCTCTCTATTGTTCGAATTCGAATAAGTTAGTAGCGTCCCGTTTGAGTTGTTTGATGTAGTTTTGGAAGGGCATAAGGATTCATCATAATCCAATACGCGGTCAAGGGCACCAATTTTCTTCACCCCGTTTCGTCATTGATTCACATTATATGGAGTATGATCCCACTGCGTTCTTCTCTAGATCATCTAGAGCTGGACTAAACCGCATTTGGTTCCTTCTTGAGAGCCTCGTACTCCTGGACTTGAACCTTGAAATGCTTGGCTCGTGCTTGTTGGCTCTCCATGGGGAGCCGGGTGAGGTCTTGATTCGCACCTTGACCCTTTAAATATGGATACTATATCTGTTGTGGTTACTTTGTTCAATCCAACGCATTATTCAAGACGTTAGTTTAAAAGGTCTCTTTTATATCAACACACCTAAATTCATCAACAATACGTCTAAAGAGGAATGCATGGAGATGGAAGTCTCTTAAACGCTTCATTAATGTGTAATCGTCTAAAAAAGTATATTTTTTAAAGATTATTAACTACTTTTGAAAGACCAAATAGACAAAAACAGCCAAAGAATTGCATTGAAGTATAACATGATAGTTTACTTAATCACCTTAGACCTTTAAATATGGACAGGTACAATATTGAAATGCAAAGGAAAACAAAATGAAATCAATAGCAAATCATTGCACATTTCAAACCCTGCCGGTGACATTGACTATTGACCTACAAGACAGTACATGATTCATCTCTCTTCATGGGGCTAAAACCTATATATGATCATATGGAAGCACAGACAACTTTCAAATTCCCGCTGATTCCAAAGTGGCCACACCAAAATTCATGATTCAAGAGCTAACCTTGACAAGTGATAAGGGATTTAAGTTACCAGAACTTGGAAGAAAGATATAACTCACTTAGACAGCAAGCTTTTTTCTGAGACGAATCCTATTCACGACATCGACTGGTAGAGCGTATGCTGGATCTATGGCTTTCAACGCTGGATATTCAAGAAGTGAAAGTCCTGCAATATTCATTGAAGTATAAGTTTAAATACGATGTTATGAACATTAGCCAACAATAAAGGTTTGCAAGTTAACAAATTTTTGGTACTCTGCAATAGGAACACAAGATGCAGGAGATTGACTGCTTAAGAAAGAAAGATATACCTGCTATTCCAAAGTATGTGTGATAGACATCAACAGCATCGTCTGGTCTATCTGAAATTCCTCCATTTTCTGTATCCTGCAATTTTCCAGTTACCAAGAACGATGTTATGGACTCATCGAGATTAGAAATAATACAAGCCATGTTAGGTGATGAAACAATTTGGCCGACGTAACCTGGCAGTCTAAGATGAACTTCACGAGCTTTTCCTTATTAATCCAGTGAACCCTGTCAATCATGATCAAGCTAGAAAGAACCCACCACGAATAGCAAACCTGAAGCAACAAATCAAAATCTATGAGTAGAAGTACAAAAGCAACTAATGGAAACAGACTTGGTAACAATGTTCTTATCCCAAACCCACATCAGGAAGTTTTTCAGGGCGACCGTTAAGACCTCCAGACTTGACTTGCCGCTCGCACAACCACCAACCAAGAAGATCCTTGTCAATATGGTGAAGAGACCCCGTAAGAGCAAGAGCACCGACACAACAGAAAACTGTAGTTACAGCGATGCAGACTTTAGGCATTTGTATTGTATTAAAGAACCATGTAAATAATTGCGAGTTGAGCTTATGGCAACAGTATTTTGTAAATCAGAAACTTATCCTCACTCGGTATACTTTAGTAGAAATTTATTCCGAATACTTCAGTTGCAATTTATTCACCATTGTAAAGTTTACAGACCTAAAGCAACATTGTGCTATCACCAACACTGATAGCATATTATGCGCCATCTCACTTTGTAAATTGATCTTTTTTAGAAGCAAGTTTGGAGAACTTGAAACATGAAGGAAGAAATGGCTAACATACTTTGCCCAGAATGAGACTCTCCACCAGGTATGCATCCGAAACCACCATCCATATTTTTGCAACTAACGACGAAGTTCACAGCCTTCTCAACATTGATTTTATCCAATTGATGTAACAATGATAGACATAAAATTGCAATATATGAAAATCTGAAAGAAGGAAAACAAAAAATGAAGCACATAAGTATTCTATGCAAGGTAACTTGTAACATCGTACCAAGCATTGATTCCTTCAAAACGATATAATAAAGAAATGAGTAGAGAGTGAGAGAATACCTTGAATCAACTTCACCCCAAATATCCCCTGAAAAGGAGCCATCTTCATTTTGAAGGCCAACAACATCTAGTGTATGGTTAAGTGTAACAAGAGATATTGGCACTCATGGGAGGGTTAACTAGCTTTACTCTGACACCTTACAGAACTCGTCATCTTTTGCGCTTAACCCTCTTACCCTCAATGGTCCATTCAAGCAGGCAGAAGGAGATTTGAATCACATTCTTCGTACCTGTCCCTTTGCAGCCAAGATTTATTGGATGTATTGAAAGATTTAGTATTTCGATGCCTTTGTTTAGCTGCCATACTATGATGGAGAAAGTGGCTTTATACCCCCCTTTTTAAGCCGGAGGATGTAACACTTTGGGCAGGCCAATTTTTTGCATGCCTTAGGCATATCTAGCGGGAAATACAGTGAATATTTTTAAGAATTAGAAGGCTCTTGGGAAGATGTTTGAAAAATGGAACATTTTAATGCCTCTTTTTCGGTCGAAGACTTTGTAATTTTCCTTTTTCCCTGTTCAAAAGATTGAAGCCATTTCTTGTTGTTTTTTGTCGACTACTTTTCCTGAGCTGGTCTCTGTTTTGTATGGCGTTTTATTCTGTCATTCGTCTTAATGGAAGTGATTTCCCTCAGGAAGATGATTTATAGGGGAGGATCAAGCCCATCTAATTTTCATTGATTCTATAGGTTAAAATGCCAGAATTTCCCCTTCCCTTGCTTTGAATGTTCTGAGTAATAGATGGTTTAGTTCAGGAGAGTAATTTTCAATTGATGTGCGCCAATAGCTAAAAAAGAAGCTAGGTCTTGTGATCATTTGGAACTCAAGAAGTGTGGGATTAAGATTTTTGGGATTAAACTCCACTAATCAAGTCAAATTAGGGTAGATCGTTTTCTAACTCTTAAAGGAATGTTTTTACCTGTTTTTTATATCAACGAAAAAGTGTTTTTTTTTTCTTTCAAAAGAAAAGTATAGGTCAAAAGATCCAAAAAAATAAGCTCTCCCCAACTATTTAATAAATGATACTTATGAGGAATATACAGTCGGGACTACTGTTACCCCCAAAGGGTTTCAAATGCCCACCCCCAAAGGGATTCAAATGCCCATCAAGGATTCATGTAAGCAACCAAAAACTAGACGTTGAATTAAACGGGAAGAAGAACATTTTCAAAAGGATACAATCTGTCACCTTATCAACATCTAAAACATCCAACTTGTCAAAAAGTGCTAAGACTTGCACAGCACTAAGGGTGTAAAGTATGTGCGGATCATGTCCAACGTTGCCAGCAAAACCACCTGCACAACTTCTCTGCCTTCATTATCAATTACTCGATGCCCACATAACACTGAGTAATTACATTGATTCAGATAAGAATCAGGCAAACAATCCTCAGTCCAATGTTGTGAGAATGTAATTGAATAGCCACTCCGTTCAAGACAAACATTCAACAAAAAGCACAACTTAAGACGGTTTTTTGTTTTTTTTTTTTTTTTTTTTTTTTTTGGAGAACTTACCAGACTGGTGCTGGCATGACATGACCCAGGAAACAACCTCATCAGCGTCCACAGTGTTGAGCTTTCCAAGAATATCCAGTGCAGTCAGCCCCCAGTATGCACCATTCATTCTTAGATGTTCCATCACCACGGATTGAAAATCATCCTTTCTCTGGACACAAAACGATCAAAGATGTGGGCAACTAAAGTAACATTTGGGAGTGACTTGGAAATTGTTAAAATCATTTTTAACAGATTCAAAACAATTCTACGCGTATGAAAATCGATTGAATGATTGAAGACATGTTTTGTGGCGATTTTGAACACGACAACTCTGATTTTAGCCATTTCAAAATCACTCCCAAACGTGCCCTAAAACACATGAGATCCATGAATGGAAAACGCACCTTTTCAACTGATAGTATGTATTTAACATGCTTCTCAGCGGCCAGTTCCCCCATCTGTCAAGTCCTGGCCTAATTAGCTGTTATTTCATGGAAATCGATGCTAACAAAGTAAACTCAACAAACATAACGAACACAGAAAATTTGCAAGGAGCAATAAATGGTCAATATAAAGACTCTCACGAACAACGAAAAAACAGCGATTGGGCAAGAACAAAGTGTATATTTCCTACTTAACCATCAATTTACTCGGCTATGAAAGAACTAACCCGTATAAACTTTTGAATGACAACGACCAACAGTGAAATTATAATCTCAATAACAAAGTGATCAATCTCAAGCAATAATGAAATCAAGTTAAAGAACAGGGTTGAAACCTGGACGGAGCTTCAGCTAGAGAGATGTAAAAATGAACACAGAAGGTAGAAAGCAAGAGAGAAGGAGTGACAATAGGCCACACAAAGAAGAAATGGCGCAATCGCCAATGGCCAAGCACGACGGAGATTGAAGCGAAGGCGAAATCGTTGAGAGAGAAAACGGGGCTAGGTCTGTACGGAGAGAGATAGAGAGAGAAAATTAGATCGATGACTGAAATTGACTCTTCAAAACTTTTTTTTTTTCTTTTTGAAAAAAAAAAAAACATTTCAATTTTATTTTACTCCTCAAAATTTGTTTATTTTATTTCATATTTATATATCGAATTATTATTATTAGATCTATTCACACTTTTGAGTATGACGAGATTTAAATTAACTCGAAAAATAATTATTATAAAACTTAAATGGTTTATTTTTCTCTCTTAATTTTAAATTACATTTTATTAAAAGACTTAATTAAATATTTATTTCTAAGAGAATTGTGTTTATTCTATTTGAGTTGGATAATAGGAGGTAGCGAAGACAAAGGATGTTCTTATTGGAACACAGACCTCCAACAAAAAGGGAGGGAAATGTAACACAACACAACAGCAACAGCAACAAACCATGCAGAAAAAACAAAAACCAGAACAGGAACAGCAGAATTACGAATTAGCCCCTGCGGTAAGTGGTTGGGTCAGTCCCCTCCTTGCCCACGTCATCATCGTGGGCCATACCAAAAGTGCTTTTCACTGCATCCGCCGCTCCTTGGGCCATACTCTTCACTTTCTCACCCGTCTGCTCCAGTATCCCTCCGGTCGTCTCCTTTCCAGATTGGGCCTTATCCGACATATAGCTTCCTGTCTGATCTTTGGGCTCTTCGGCCCATTCTTTCTTGGACTCCGCTGCTCCATGGGCCTTGTCCCCCATTCTACCCATCGCCTGACTAGTCTTCTCCTATAATAATAATAATAATAATAATTCATTTTTAAATAAAGAAATAAATAAAGAAAATACCTCAGCTCGGCCCTTGCTTTCACCACCCTTGTACCTCTCATTGTGGGATGCCATTGTTTACAAATAGATCTGTTTCTTTTGCGAGTACTAGGGATGAATCAAATCCAGCTTATTTATAAGCTTCCCGGAGCTACGAAATGGATTGACACGAGTCTACGGAAGTCACACGTGTAGGGCTTACGTGCCCTCTCCACTGTTCTCACAGACTTTGGCGGCACCAATTCCATGACTCTGCCTATGTGCTCTTGCCACGTGTTTGCTCCTGCTTATTTAATTTAATGTTGAGCTTACCCATCCTTCTTTAAATTAGCCAATCTAGAACTTTCATATAACATTTCGTCCTTATAAGTAAAAGTTGACGTTCTTGTAGGTAAAATTTTGAGCTGGTTCAGAAGATTTTTTCAACTCAACAGACACTGAGCAATTTTCATTGGATGGATGTGACGTAGCATGAATTAATTCGTGTTTTAGGTCAGTTTACTACCAACTTATACACGTTGAAATAGTCCATTCCAACCCCAAAGATCTCGCACAAGAAACAGGCAAGTGCAAGGCAATGCACAAAAACAGGGTAAGTCCCAACCATTTTAAAGCTCTATATAATCTCTGGCTTTAATCACCTTTCAATGCATCAATTTCCTCGTCTTTTCCTTCATTCTTTTGTCTATTTTCCCAGAAACACCAAGAAAAACATAAAAATTTAGAGAAATGGCAAGCCAACAGGATTTGAGCTACAAGGCTGGGGAGACTGTTGGGCAAGCTCAGGCAAGTAAGGATGACATTATGAGCCAACTAACATCCACCCAGGATGCCCAATCCGCCGCCCAAACTGCCACCGACCTGAAGGACCAAGCTGCCAACTTCCTCCAACAGGCAATTTACATGTCATTTTCTCTAATTTCACTGACAAGAATGGCTGTGTTTCTTTTAATACTTTGGTGTTTTTGTGTGTGTGTGTGTGTGTAGACTGGAGAGCAAGTGAAGAGCATGGCTCAAGGAGCAGCTGAGGCAGTGAAGAACACACTTGGGATGAAGACCGACACTGATACCACCACCGCACCCAACAACAACCCTACCAACAATCCTTCCCCTACAATTTAATTTCTTTCTTCAATAACTCCATTTTGTATAAATAATTTAAAGGAAGAGAGTGATGTATTGTCCCCTTCCTTTTTCCTAATTAATTTCATTCTTTATTCATAGTCATTTTCGCAATCTCTATTTTATGCGGGTCAATTTAGATTGTAATGGTTCATATTATAAATTTTACTAAAACCGCTTGGGAACATGTAATTTAGTAGTAGGGGCAATTGTTAATAGTGGGTCATTCTCTTAAACCATTGTGAGTGACAAAATGCTATATAGTTAGGTTTATTGAATCAATTAATGAAAATTAAATAATAAAGTAAAAAATAATGAATAATTGTAGAATAAATGCAATGATTATTTTATTATTATGGGAGCTTGAATTGAACAAATTCAAGATTCAAACCCGACAAACGAAGGACTTTGGATTAGATGAATTATATGCCAAACTGCTCGTGGGGCCGTCTATTTGACCCAAGGTGTCCAATATATATTAGAAGGTTGGACGGTTATAAATGGTATCAAGGCCCACAAGGAAGAAGTGTGTGAGGGCCCACAAGGAGGTGGATTGTAAGATCCTTGATTTGTTGGATAGCTTATGTTGGGGCCCACAAGGTAGAAACCTCGATTTAAAATTGATGTTAGGGCCCACAAGGTAGAAACCTCTTCACATTCTAAAATTATGAGACTGATGATGATATGTAACCGGACAAAGTGACAAGATCCTACTTAGTGGTATTAGAGTCAATCCGGACAATATCTACTAGTGGTAGACATAGGCGGCAACAAATATCTCACTTAAACGATTTTGAAAGGCTTAGATTCACATCTTTACAACCAATATTTAGTTGATGTTGTTAGTGATCATGACATCACTTAAGTAGCGGTGTGGCAAATTATCCCATGGATTTATTCCTCATTTAAAGCACAATTATAAAAGCAAACGATCCCCCAAAATTCAGCTTTGAACGAACGATCAAGGGTTGGAGAAGAACAAAAGCTCGACACGTCTGGTTAGGCCCAACTGTTCACCTAAACAAAACGTTTAGAATTTCGGGTTTCTTTTTTCATTTTAATAAATGAACTCAAACGGATTTTCGTCGAATTTCTCTTCCAAACCCCGTTTTGTTCACAGGATCTTTTCTTATCTTGGGATCTTGAACACCACCAAAATTCTCGCCCCTTTTTCTAGCCGTCTCAGGAGGAATCAACACACTTTTTTTCTTTAAATTTTTTTTATTCTTGCAGTGTTGGCCCATACTCTGAACTCCTCTGCCCATCGTTCTTGGAGCTTCTTTACTCTGTAATGGCGTCCTGTAAGTGTTTCTGTCTGCCATTCATGGTCCTTTTTAGTTTTGTTTATTTACTAGTCTCGCGCATGGGTTATCTGTGTTGAGTTTTGTTTTCATTTTTTTCTTGGTAATGATGAAGATATAATTCTTGAATTCTTTCAAAATCATGGCTATGATGATAGATTTTAATGAATGTATATGATTTCGAAGTTCTTTTCTGCATTCCCCACTTAACCCGAGGGTTTGAATTTCAATGATATGAACGGGTGATGAGAATGAGAATGATCGAATCTTCTTGATATACAAATTTAAGTATAAAGATTGGGATGAGATTCTTACTTCGTTTTCTTTTATTATGATCATAATCATAGTTTCTCTGCTGCTGTTGTTGCTGTCCTCCTCATATTGCAGGCAGCTTGAGAACTGCAGACTTTAAAGTCTTCAGGTTGGATGTTTGTAGGGAAAGAGTCTCTACTTTACCATCTTGTAGCTTAAGAAATTGGAGCAGGACACCGCAGCGATATTCGAGTTTGATAATATCATGTTCGTCTCGAAGAGATTTGCGCGCTTGTTGTAATGCATCGCCTGAGACCCGGAGTATGTGTTTATGTTACTTGTAATCTTTTCATGAAGGTCAACATCATGTAATTGTTGTCAAAAGTCAGTTTCTGAACTGCATGTAGATTTTCATAGCTTTCTTGTTCTTTGTCTTACATCGGGTTTTCTTTTGAATTGAAAGTACATTAGGAATTTTACATGAACAAATTGGTAAGCTGGTGTGATTGGATTAGGATTGGGCAGAGCTTTTGAAAAGTGAACTAGGTTTCTTGAGTCTACTTTTTAAAGACAATTACCATTGAATGTTAAAGGTTTGGTTACTCATATACACCTTTTAAGGCATATACATTTTTGCATTTTCAAAACTCCTGGAGGTTGTCAATCTCTAGAGCTTTTGTTCAACTTACGCCATTGGAAGTTACATCATGAAATACTTAACGCTCATCATTTTGACAAAACTCTTGTGAGATCCCATATTGGTTGGAGAGGTGAAAAAAACCTTCCTTATAAGGGTGTAGAAACTTCTCCCTAGCAGACGCGTTTTAAAGCCTTGAGGAAAAGCCCAAAGAGGACAATATATGTTAGCGGTGAGCTTGGGTAGTTTATAAATGGTATTAGAGCCAGTCACTGGAAAGTGTGCTAGCGAGAATGCTGGATCTCCAAGGGGGGTGGATTGTAAGATCTCACATCAGTTGGAGAGGGAAACGAAACATTCTTTATAAGGGTATGGAAACCTCTCCCTAGCATACACGTTTTAAAACCTTGAGGGAAAGCCAAGAAGGAAAAGTCCAACGAAGACAATATCTGCTAGCGGTGGGCTTGGGTAGTTACAAACGTATTAGAGATAGTCATTGGATGGTTTGCTAGCGAGGACGTTGGACCTCCAAGGGGGATGGACTATGAGATCCCATATCGGTTGTTGAGGGGAAGAAAACATTCCTTATAAGGGTGTGGAAACCTCTCTCTAGCATACGCGTTTTAAAACCTTGAGGGGAAGCTCAAAAAGAAAAATCCAAAGAAGACAATATTTTCTAGCTGTGGGTTTGAGCTGTTACAACTCTGTACATCATTATTACTATATTTTGTTTCCTAAACCCTGTTGGAATGTTAGACTCTCTGATTTGCATGTCTCATTGACGTTGTACAGCCATAACCGGGTCCGAAACAGTTTCTGAAGAAACAAAACCTTCCAGTTCGGCCAGCCAACTTATCCCAAATTTGCAGGAGGTAAACTTGGCGTTCTTTTATGAGTTAAAAGTTTAGTCAATAAGTAGACTGGAGCTTTTTGCTTGTTCTCTACTGGTTGGGAAGAGGAAATATAAGGGTGATGGCGGCATCAGAAAGTTGCTTAGTGTGATGGAAAATCTTCGATATTAGAGGGATCAGCGTATGGGTAGCTTTATACGTTTATCGAGCATTGGATTCTCGTGTATATTGTGGATTGAAATTGGGAAAATAAACATTTTCAACAAGCTTTTACTTTCTTCTATGCTTTGTTGGATTTGTATGATGATGTTTCCGTACTGAAATCGCTCGTTTATTCGAAGTAACCTTGTCGTTTGGGAATCTTAACATACTTTTCATTCGAGTATGCAGGTGGAAACCCTGCTCACAAACATATGTGACACATCTTCGATTGCAGAGTTCGAATTGAAAGTATGTAGTGTTGCACTGTTTTTAACTACGATTGCTCTGTCTCAATCTCAAATACTTTCCTTCTCCTTCTGCAATCAGCTCAAAGGATTCAAGTTGCAGATAGTGAGGGCTTTAAAAAGCGAAAATGTACCTCTTCCTCCAGTTCCAGAACCAGCTCCAGCTCCAGCTCCTGATATTCAAAGTGCAAGTTCTATACAATCGGATTCAAACGGAACGGTTAAAACAACATCATTGGCTTTATTCAAACCAGAACCTGTTTCTTCTTCGTCTCCGGAGGGGATCTCCAGATTTGTAGAGAGAGCTAGAGATGAAGGCCTAGCAATACTTTCATCTCCTAAAGTAAGCATACAACGTTTTTTGCTTATTTTCTTCTTGCCCAAGTCATGGATGGTGAGGTGAGGTGAGATTTGAATGCAGGTTGGGTTTTTTAGGCGGTGTCGAACCATAAAAGGCAAGCTTGCTCCGCCGTCTTGTAAAGAGGTATGTTGAATCCACACGCCCCCACAAAGGAGAAAAGAAACTTGGGAGAGTTCATAGGTTATATTGCGTTCTATTTAGCTGCTTCTGGTCTGCTGCATTTTGATCTTCCCATTTGCTTTTAGCATTAGACATGTTTATTGCCGTGATGAAATAAGATCCTACATCGGTTGGAGAGGAAAACGGAATGTTCCTTATAAGGGTGTGGAAATCTCTCTCTAGCAGATGCGTTTTAAAACCGTGTGGAAATATCTATGGCTTGGGCTGTTACAAATGGTATCAGAGCTAGACACCTCGCAGTGTGCTAGCGAGGGTGTTGGGCTCTCAAGGGGGGTGGGCTGTAAGATTCCACATCGGTTGGAGAGTGTAACGAAACATTCCTTATAAAGGTGTGGAAACCTCTCCCTAATAGACGTGTTTTAAAAACTTTAAGGAGAAACTCGAAAGGGAAAGTTCATAAGGGACAATATCTGCTAGCGATTGGCTTGGGCTGTTGCACCAAACTTCACTAACATTGATTCACTAAACAGAACCAGGTTGTAAAAGAGGGTCAAGTGCTTTGTTTCATTGATCAGTTAAGTGCCGAGATCCCTATCGAGGTTCGAGTCTTGTCTTTAAACTTCATTAGTCAGTACTGAGCCTGATTATATTCACATTATGCTCTCACTGTTCTTGCATGATGTTTCTTCGTTTCATTTTGCAGTCGGACATATCTGGAGAAGTCGTGAAGATACTGCGCAAGGATGGCGGTAAGTCGGTTTTCGATGTTTTTCTTCTTCTACCCTTTAATACGCTGTAGTTTCATGAACAATGGCTCAGCAATTCACCATTTTCATGACAGAGGCTGTTGGATATGGTGATGCTCTTATTGCAATTCTGCCTTCATTTCCTGGGATAAAGAAGCTTCAGTAGATTGCTTCCAAATCAAAGCAATACTCTCTTAGATTCTATGCCTCTAGATTGCTTATACATTCCATTTCACTCTCATTTCAATAAACAAATTTCTGCATTGAACTTTTAGGATTTAGCCGTTGAACTTGTAGGAATTTCTATTACGTTCATAAAATTTTGGACTTTCAATTTTTTTCTTTTGCATGTATTAAATGTTTGAGTGAGCTTTACCGTTCATCGTTCATCTAATGGGTTTCAATTTGTATCACTTAACTTTTCGGTTTTGTGTTTAATATGTGTCATCACTTGTAAATTTGCTAGCTTAATGTAACAACTTAAGTCTATCGTTAGTAGATATTGTTTGTTTTGGCTTGTTATGTATTGTCATCAGTCTCACAATTTTAAAACCTGTTTACTAGAGTGAAGTTTTTACACCCTTATAAGAAATGTTTTGTTTTCTTTTTCAACTAATATGAAATTTTACAATCCACCTCATGAGAGTCCAGTGTCTTCGTTGGTACATTGTTCGGTTTTGATTATGATACCATTTGTAATAGCTTAAATTGTGAGGATGACGACAATACATAATGAGCCAAAATAGATAATATTATCTACTTTCCAACTAATATGGAATTTTACAATCCATCCCATGAGAACCCAGTGTCTTTGTTGGTACATTGCATGGTTCTCACTATAATATCATTTGTAATAGCTCAAATTATGAGGATGATGATAATACATAATGAGCCAAAACAGATAATATTATCTACTTTCCAACTAATATGAAATTTTACAATCCACCCTATGAGAGCCTAGTGTCTTCGTTGGTACATTGTTCGATTTTGACTAAGATACTATTTGTAATAGCTCAAATTGTGAGGATGACGACAATACATAATGAGCCAAAACAGATAATATTATCTACTTTTCAACTAATATGGAATTTTACAATCCACCCCATGAGAGCCCAGTGTCTTCATTGGTACATTGCTCGGTTCTGACTAAGATACCATTTGTAATAGCTCAAATTGCGAGGATGACGATAATACATAATGAGCCAAAACAGATAATATTATCTAGGGACGAGCAAGGTTGGGTTTCATGTAAATGACCGTTAAACCCTTTTTAAAATTTATTGCTTTAATAATCAACGACTTTTAAAATTTATAGTCAAAATTGTAATTTTTCAGTATTTTTTAAATTGAAGTAAATTTTTTTTGGTAACTAAATAATAAATATTTGAATTTAATCTGTTTTAAAATTATTTTTCAGAATATGGAAATGAAATAATAATAATAATAATAAAACAGTTCAAAAGTTCGACCGCGAAACAAGTCGGGAAAGGGGAAAAAACCGCAAACCGAAGCAGCGAGGCGACCGTGATTTATGATCGGGACTCCACCGTTGAATCTCACGACGGAGTCCATTGCATCTTCTCCGCTGAGTTTTCCAATGGACGGCTAGGGTTTCGTATTTCTCCCACCTACATTGTAAATATTGTATTGTTATACCTGTCGATAAATTGGATATGTCGTTTGCCATTTCAAAATTCATCGGTTTCTTCCAAATTTGTGGACTTAGGTTTGCTCTTCTGGAAGTTCTTTCGACAATGTAGTTGATTACTGGACAATTTTTCATCAGGTATCTACCGAAATATTTTTTGTTCTTTTGCGTCAAATTTGGTCTCCTCGACTACTTAACTGCATGTGACAATTCTCGATTCTCTTGCGTTGAAGATTTTGACAATGCACAGAGATTTAAGCGAATCTTGCAATTGTAACTTTTCAGAAAAGAAATATTGCTTGGAATCCTACTGATTTTCCGTCCGAAGAACTTGAAACTTGAAATTGGACGATTTGGCCCTTGAGATGAGTGCTACTTATCGTTTTAACGAAATTACTCCTCCGGTCCCAGAGGCTCGTGGCGATTCGTCGGCATTGCCTCCTCCACATTCGGATAGTGGACTCCAACAGCGTACTATGCCTTCAAAATCTCGGATTCCACCATCAAACAATCGGAACATTGGGTATGACCATGAGTTGGGGTGTATGTCTACACCTGCTTTGAATGATACTCATAGAAGGTTACCTTCCTTGCGAGGAATTGAATTTCATGAAGGTCAATTGTCAGGGCGTTCGAATGAAATGAAAGCATGCAGACAGTTCCAACGCCGGAGGAAATGTGCATATGGGGATCAGTGTCGTTACCTTCATGAAATTCCTGAGAAAACTAGAGATTTTGGGTCCACCACCCAGAATTACGAGGTTAGAATAGTAGATTCTGGTCATGTTATGAATCGAAGACGTGGGTTGGATCAATTGGAAGAAGTCAGATCAAAAGTACAAACAGAGATTGTTGTCCGCGGTGAGATTCCAAAGCCTGTAAGATGCAAAACAAGGCTCTGTTACCCCTTGCAGAAGACTGGTAGCTGCCCATATGGGGCGGTTTGTCGCATTGCCCATGAAGAAGCAGGTATTTTGAGATTCCTCTTTCCATTCCATTACCATGCTATTGTTGAGAATTGTAGTAGATATTAACATGGTATCAGAGCTATGTTTTTAATTTAACCATGTCAATAAAACTCTCCAATGTCAAAAAAAGACGTTGTAAGTCTCGAAGGTGTAGTAAAAAAGTGATTAAGTGTCAAACAAAGGGTGTACTTTGTTCGAGGGCTCTAGAGAAAGGAGTCGAGCCTCAATTAAGAGGAGACTGTTCAATGGCTCCATAGGTCTCAGGGAGACTTTATGGTATACTTTATTCGAAAGAAAAATTGTTGAGGATTGTTGGACGGGAGTCCCACATCGAATAATTAAGAGGATGATCATGGGTTTATAAGTAAGGAATAAATCTCCATTAGTATAAGGCCATTTGGGAAAACCAAAAGCAAAACCATGAGAGTTTATGTTCAAAGTGGACAATATCATACAATTGTGGACAATATCATACAATTGTGGAAGTTTGTGATTCCTAACAACTATATGATTTGAAGTGACGTGCAGCTCCTCCAGAAAGAATGAATGTCTAAGTGCATATAAAATCTATTTTCTTTTGCCATTTACTTTATTAAGAGAAATTTTATGATATAAATAACCTTGGGTTGATTCAAATGAATCCCCTCGTAATCTCATTTCTTGGAAGATTTTGTGGTTGTGGGGGGGTCAATTTTTAAGCGTTGATTAGATATTGTTCCTCAGAAGTACGAAAACACTAAACATGACTGCTTAACCATATGTATAAATGTCATCCATGTGGATTTACTACTTAATCACTGCTTGAATCGTTTTTAAATCAAAAGTTGGTGATTGTCAAATTACAGGCATTGATATTGTCCTTGTGTTCTTTGTTTTTGGAGAAAATAGAACTACAAAAGCTTGGGCCCTTCATTGCTGCATCACAACGTGGGAGCGTATCTGATGCCTCTGCAACAACTTCTGCCGCTACCCAAGTTGAAATTGGAATCGTCTGTAAGAACGAAGAGCCAAGAATGAAGCAATTCTTTAAATCAAAGAAGTCTAAGAGGTTGATTGCCATTTATGCGGACTGGCTCGAAGATTGAGTTACCCACAACAAAGATTTCACCAAATACCGAGGCTTTTAAATGAAGGTTCTCCCATAACTTCTTAATTTCTTATCCACATTGAATTAGAATATCATTCTTAGCAAGAATATGAAATTTTTTACTTTTTGTCAGAGATGCATGTAGGAAGATCTGAATTCATGATGATAGTTCATTTTTAATTTTCTTTTGGTTTTTTCTATACTCGTGTTAGCTACTTAAAAACACGTTTTCACAATTCTACTAGATATATAGGATTACATTTAGAATAAATTCTAATTTATATCTTACATAACTTTTGAATTTGTTTAGAACCGTGCTGGTAAAAGTTTAAAGATTAAATAGACATGAATCGGGCAGGAAAACAAAGAATTGTGAGTGTGCCATTCCCGTGAAACCTTGAGGATTCATCTGCGTTTGGACTTCTTCTTCCATGAAGGGTTGCCTTGAGCTTTGACACAGCGAACTATCCTCCTCACATCCTTCCTAACAGACAGGAAAGCCAAAAGCACAGCAAGAAACATGGTGGGATAGACACGGCTATATTGCTTATTATGATTGTAATACGAAGATTTCCTCCAAACAATACCCCACATAGCAACAAGGCAACCAAACAGACTCATCCGCCCACTCCCAGGCCTAACCATCCCCATCATAGCTCCTCCCACCGCCAAATAACTCCCAGCAATAACCTGCTTCACCTCAACATAACCAAAAACTCTCGATCTTTAAAGAGAAGAAAACAAAGTAAACATTGTAATATACCTCCAGGCGGTGGAGATCCGACGTGAATGGAGAAGCTGGTGGTGCTTTCATGCGGATAAACTTGTATATCTTTGGCAAACTTCTGAATTCCGGAATGGGTTTGTTCTTAAATATGGCCTTTGCAATGGCTCCTGGATAGAGGAGTAGCTCCACGACAGGTGCAGGAAAGACCTGGCTTGATAGCAGCTGAGAACATGTCAATTCTAGTGGCGTCGTGCACGATGGCGACGACGACGACAATGATGATCCTCTGCATGGAACCCTGTCCTCCGACAACATTGCTGATTAGATCCATGCATTGTTTGGACGGAAAAGAGATGGAAAGTTTACCTGAAAAGAGGAACTTGGGTGAAAATGAGAAGAAAATATAGAGAAGAGGCAGTCCGAGATATGGTGGTCGCCCATTTCTTGGAAGAAGCCATGCCAGCAATGAAATGCGTCTCCGGTCTGTTGGTGGCTATTGAAAAGACACATTCGAGTTTCAACGATCAAACAAAGAACAAGGAATGGCAGTTTCATGCTTTAAATATGGACCTCACACTTGGTTTCCTGTTTTTTTTTTTTTTTTTTTTTTTATGTCAAATGTCATGTTCGGAATGCGTATCGGGCTAGCCCAACCGATCAAATTGGGCCTGAAAATCGACATTACACACATGTCTAAGAGCCTAAAATAGACTTGAATTTTGAGGAATGAAAGTGAAATGACGAGAGTTTATGCTTAAAGTAGATAATATCGTATAATTTTCGATGTCACTTATGAGATCTAATATGAAAATCTCTCTTTAGAAGACATGTTTAAAACTATGAAGCTGACAATATCTACTGAATTTTAAAACTTTATGAGAAATTTGGAAGGGAAAACCTGTTTGTTAGCGGTGAGCTTATTATACCTTGTTCCTAATAAACAGTATTAGAATGAACTCTATCGAACTTATAATATGCGATAGTATTAGGCGGATAGAGATGAAGGTTAGGATCGGGGATAGTATAGACAATTTTAAATACTAGGGGCAATATTCGATCTAAATTAAATGTGCCGGGACAAATTTGAAATGGTCCAAGTGTTGAAAGTCACTTCAAGCATTCAATCTTCATATATTAATTTTATTGAAATACTATATTTATAATTTAGAAGAATGTTATTTTTGTGAAGTAATCCATCTAATTAAAATGTGTACTTAAAACAAATCCAAAACAGTCTAAAACACTACAAAGTCACTTCCAACCATTCAAACTTCAATATTATTTTTCTTTTTGTTTTATAATAGCGTAAAACTTCTTCAATTATTTATTTTAATTATGAAATTGTGGAGGATGTATTTTAATATATATATTAATCTAAATTAATATAAAAAAAACATTTAATATTTTTAAAACCATGTCTTTTTTTAAGTTTCAAAAATATTTTTAAACTTTAAAAAAAATCAAAAATCACATTTTAATTTTTTTAAAAAACTTGAAGAATATTCCTACTGTTAGTACCATGTTACAAAAATATTAATGAAATATCATTAACATATTTTATGAGATGTTGATAGATGTTTTTTTGTCTATATATTGACGATAAAATTTAAAAAAAAAAATTAATGAAAGCTAAGAGGGTTAACAATACATTTAAAATTTCATCAATATTTTTTAAATATTAAAAGTAATTTTTAGTTGAATAGTATTTTTAAAAAAATATGCAGTTTGATCTATTATTTTCTAGATTTTTTTTTTTTTTTTTTTGAAAAATTTGAAGTATTATTAAAACGAAAATTTAGAAATATTTTTTAAATAAAAATACATTTAAAAAAAATATATTTTTTCTGTTATCCACAAGCATCAATAATTGAATTATTAAAACCCTTTAAAATAAATTAGTTGACTAAGTTCCTTGGTTGACCGGAGACTAAATTCCCTTCATATACTCCTCTTTTCACAAGTCGTTTTAGACTTGAAGAAACAGAGGAGAGGAGGGGGAAAGGGGCGGCCATGGCTGGTCTGCAGAGATCTGTCGTGTCATTCCGGCGGCAGGGATCTTCCGGTGTCGTTTGGGACGACAAGTTCATCTCGGAGGAGCTCAACAAGGCGGCCCCAAGCGACGGTGAATCCAGCGCCACGCCCGAGGTGAAGACGGGAAGAAATATTCCGCCCATCAAGACGATTGATCGGGCCCGATCAAACCGCGGGGGAGGACGGGGGTTCCGGAGTAAAGATATGGCGGCGCCGGCAGTGGAGCCCCCGTCGCCAAGAGTCTCTGCTTGTGGCCTCTGCAGCGCTTTCGGGAAATCCGGCGCCAAGAAACAGAGAGCGGCGGCGGCTGGCAAGCGCCGATCACGGTAGGTTTTGGGAAATTTAAGGGAATTTATGTTTTAATTTCAGTTATGAAAAATAGGATTTGATGGTGTAAATANGTTTGGTTTTTTTTTTTTTTTTTTTTTTTTTTTAATTGGAATGAGAAATGTTTGTTTTTGTTTAAATGAGAGATTGGTCTTTTTTTTTAAAAGTAATACATTTTAGTAGTTTGTTGAAAATATTAGTATTTATTAATAATTAATTTAAATTAATTCATTTAATTTGTTAAATTGACTTGTTGTATAGTTTTTTTTTTTTAATTTTAAATAATGACAATTAATTGCATCCATTACTACATATTAATATCATCAACTTATATTATTGTTAGATATTTTATTTTTAAAAGTTTATTATCTTTAAACATTTAATGAAACTTTAATTTTTTTACCAATTTTATAAATATAAACCAAAACTATATAATTACATATAAAATACTAAAATAGTATTGGGAATTATTTAATTATCTTAAAATTATATTTTAAATTGAGAAATAAAATCACAAATTATTTCATTCTTCATTTATGCAATTTTTTTATTTTAACTCGAACTGAGGTAGAAATTTCTCGTGAATAACTAGCAATTTTATTTATTATTCTCGTTAAAAAAAAGTCATTAAAAAAACTTTTGAATATAAATCATTAATTAATATTAATTCTTATTAGAAATAGGAGAACGACTCTATTATTATTATTATTATTATTGTTTTTTAAGATAAAATTTCATTACATAATTTTTAAATTTTGGGGTAAAAAAAAATAGTGATTCGTTTTTTCGATTAATAAATTAATAGTTGAATCGATAATAATGAGTAATGTGACGATACTAAAACAACCGTATGACATAAAATAAATTAATCCAATTGAATGATATTTGGAGCTTGTAATGTAACGAGGATATAAAACAAATTGTAACTTGTAATGTAATAAAGTTTAGAAAGTTTGTCCCTCGTATGTCAAACTTGACGGGAGTGGAGTGAGGAATTGAGCAGAGACAGGGACGAGAAATATAATTTATTTATTTAATTTAAGTGGAACATGATCATGCCGAGATCAAGTCCACTTTTAGTCTAATGGATGTCAGTGGCCGAGTCCATTCATTAGCGCCATGTTTACCTTAAACTAACTTGAAAGAGAAGTTACTATAAAAATAGAGAGGAAGATGATTGCAAAAACAAGTCAAGTAGCTATTTATATGAAGTTCAATAATTCAACCCCATAATTAAAACAAGAAATTTTTATTTTGTTTGGTTACAATTTCTAAGTTTGGAGGAGTATATAAGAAATTGGATTACCCGTGAAAACCTACCATTTCCGCGAAAGCTCTGTTTCCGAACATGAAAGCCCATCGACTTTGGCGCTCTCCGATACCCATCTTTGTATTCACTGTGTTGGCGAGGTTGAGCTTTGAATGTTCGGCTGAATTTGATTCGTTGCTGCAGCTCCCACTTTCCGGGGCGAACAGAAGTCGAGCCAGATCCAAAAGGGTTTTCTATCTTGCCGATTTTGGGGCGAAAGGAGATGGAATTAGCAATGATACTCAGGTATTTAACAAATTCCCAGGTTGTATGTTTGGAAGATTCTTATGAACATTGACAATGTGTTGATGATGATGCCGTTTTCCCTGTTCTTGATTTTCATGTTGGGGGTTAGAATGATTGCTTCATTGCTTTTGATTAAAATGCTAGATTCTTTGTAATAATTGTGGCTCTAGGCGTTATTGGCTGCTTGGAAGATGGGTTGTTCTTTCACCATTAGAACCAATTGAGCTGTATGGTTCTTGCAGATATTATATATTTTCGAGCTTCTTATGAATGTCGACTATCTGATGATGATGTTGTTGCTGGTTTCCCTTTTTCTTGATTTTCCTGTTATGGGTTAGAGTGATTATTTTGAGATCTCATAGGGAGGAAACGAAACATTCTTTATAAGGTGTGGAAACCTCTTCATAGTGGACGCGTTTTAAAAACCTTGAAAGAAAGCTCGAAAGAGAGCCAAAAAGGACCATGTCTGTTAGGGGTGGGCTTGGATCATTACAAATGATATCAAAGCCAGACATCGGATGATGTGCCAATGAGGAGGTTGAGCACCGAAGGGGGTGGACATGAGGCGGTGTGCCAGTAAGGATGCTGGACTCGAAGGGGGTGGATTGGTGCGCTATCGATTGAAGAAAGGAAAGAGTGTCAGTGAGGATGTTGGACCCTGAAAGGGGATGAATTGTGAGATCCCACATCAATTGAGGAGGAGAACGAAACATTCTTTATAAGAGTGTGGAAACATCTTGCTAGAAGTGATCCCACGTCGATTGGGGAGGAGAACGAAACATTCTTTATAAGAGTGTGGAAACATCTCCCTAGTATACGCGTTTTAAAAACTTTGAGGTGAAGCTCGAAAGGAAAAGTCCAAAGAGGACAATATTTGCTAGCGATGGGCTTGGATCGCGTTTGAAAAATCTTGAGGGAAATCTCGAGGAGAAAAGCCCAAAGAGGATAAGGTAGCCGTAGACGATTAGATTGAAATGAGAACTTCTCTACAACCTTCTCAGTGATTTTTTTTGTAGCCTTTTGAATGTTTGGCGTTTCTTTCTCTTTTTTAAACTCGATTGGACAGACATTTGTGACACTATGAAGTATAACTGTCGTGTTTGCTGACGTTGTAATAATTTTGTCTCAAGCCACTCATTGAAGCCTGGAAGATTGCCTGTTCTTTCCCCACTAGAACGAGAATTGTTTTTCCAGCTAGTAACACATTTCTGGTGCATCCTATAGAGCTTCATGGTCCTTGTCGGTCAAGGGTGACCTTAAGGGTATGAGCCAAATGCCATTCTTCTACCCTCCATACAGCAAGCATCTCCTTAACTCTTATATGTAGTTTGTATTCTTATAAGATACATGGCACAATCAATGCTCCCAAAGATCCAAACGTTTGGGAACATCGAAACCCGAGAAAATGGCTTTACTTTCGTGCGGTGAACCACCTGACTCTCAACGGCGGAGGCGAGATCAACGGAATGGGATATGAATGGTGGATGAGATCTTGCAAGATTAACTCAACAAATGTATTTTCTTCTTCAAACTCTGTATCCTTCTGTCCCATTTCAGGTTAACTTGTCTAAATCTGTCTCGAAGTAGGCATTAACCGTTGTTTTTTGGGTTTTATATGGCAGCCGTGTCGACATGCTCCAACAGTGAGTTGTTCTTGAGCTAAGTGTTCTATCTTCATTTTGTTTCTCAGCTGAGTTTTGACATGTCTTGACATGGTGACATTTTCACTATTCTTTTGCAGGCCATTACTTTCCATAAGTGTAAGAATGTAAAGATTCATCATCTATTGGTAATTGACAGTCAACAGATGCATGTTTCTTTCACAAACTGTCTTCGCGTAGTTGCCTCTAATCTTAAAGTGATCGCTCCTGCTTTTAGCCCGAATACTGATGGAATCCATATTAGTGCGTCGAAGGGTGTCACAGTCAAGAATAGCGTCGTTAGTACAGGTCAGTCATCTAATACCAACTCGTCATTTATGATTGTTCTATGATTCTATCTTCTGATGAGTTTAGATTTATGAACGACATAATAGTCGATCTTCGGATGTTTTCGTAGTTGTTAAAATTGAATCCATGGTTGAATGAGAACTTTTTCTTAAATCATGTCTGAAAGAGCATGAGACAATCTGAACAAGGAAGATTTCCAGCCAAAAGCTTCCAATTGTTGTGACCTATTGCAACTAAATTTTATCGGCATAGTTCATCCATCGACATTCGAGGGCATTAAATATGCAACTCGAGTAGGCTTTATATTGCTCTCATGATGTTTGGCCTAGTTTGATGCCTGAATTTTCCCGGCCATCATACAGATGAAACGGTCCAAGCTCACCGCTAGACAATATCTACTAGTGGTTTCCCCTCAAGGTTTTAAAACGTGTCTGCTAGGGAAAGGTTTCCACACTCTTATAAAGAATGTTTTGTTTTCCTCTCTAACCGATGTCGGATCTCACAATCCACCCCCCTTCGAGATCCAATGTTCTCGTTGACACACTGTCCAGTGTCCACCCCCTTTGGGGCTTAGCATCCTTGTTGACACACTGCCCAGTGTCTGACCCTGATACCATTTGTAACGGCTCAAGCCCACTATTAGCAGATATTGTCCTCTTTGGGCTTTCCCTTCTGGTCTTCCCCTCAAGGTTTTAAAACACGTATACTAGAGAAAGGTTTCCACATCCACATAAAACATGCTTCGTTTTTTCTCTCCAATCGATGTGGGATCTCACAATCCACCTCCCCCCCCCCCCCCCCCCCCCCCCCCCCCCCCCCCCCCCCCCCCCCCCCCCCCCCCCCCCCCCCCCCCCCCCCCCCCCCCCCCCCCCCCCCCCCCCCCCCCCCCCCCCCCCCCCCCCCCCCCCCCCCCCCCCCCCCCCCCCCCCCCNTCACAATCCACCCCCCTTCGGAGCCCAGCATCCTCGCTGGCACACTTCCTAGTGTCCACCCCCTTTAGGGATTAGAGTCCTTGCTGGCACACCACCCGGTGTCTGATTCTGATACCATATGCAACGGCTCAAGCCCACCGCTTACAGATATTGTGCCGTTTAAGTTTTTCCTTCTAGGCTTCCCCTCAAAGTTTTAAAACGCGTCGGCTAGAGAGAGGTTTCCACACCCTTATAAAGTCGTTCTCCTCTCCAACCGATGTGGGATCTCATAGCAGATGAATGAGTTGACATAATATAAATCTTGACCTTAATAGTAAACAATCAATTTGTGGATGTGAACCGAGTTGGCACACTCTCAATTTAATTTCAGCTTCTTTCAGCTCAGTTCGACTTTCTAAATTGCTAATATGACGACAAAGACGATGATCGAACGGTATCCTTTGCTTTTATGTAATAGAGAATTCTAATGCCAGCTGCATTTCCATTCCAGGGGATGACTGTATCTCTATAGTCAATAATTCTTCAAGGATCTTGATCAAAGACATTGCCTGTGGACCAGGCCATGGAATAAGGTAACATAAATCTTCACTAGTTAGATCACTCCGATTGGATCAAAGAAGTCGGTTTCGATAAATCGCTCTTTCGTTCATCAGTATTGGAAGCTTGGGAAAGCAAAACACATGGGCGCAGGTACATAACATAAGGGTCGATGGAGCTGTTTTGTCGAACACCGAAAACGGAGCAAGGATCAAAACATGGCAGGTAAAACGCATTTGTTCGTGCTCATTCGTATATACATTAGCTGATCTGTGCTCCTGTTTGCTGTGTCCATCAGGGTGGCAGTGGCTTCGCCACTGATATCACCTTCAAGAACATGTTGATGAAAAATGTATCAAACCCAATAATCATAGATCAGTATTACTGCGACTCGAATCATCCATGTGCCAATCAGGTACAAGTTCCAACTCGTTCATATCCAAACCCGAACGACATACCTTTAACTTCTTGCTTTTGAGATTGGCAGACATCAGCTGTTAAAGTGAGAGACATATCATTCATTCACATCAAAGGAACTACAGCAACAAACGAGGCCATAAAACTTGCTTGCAGCGACACGTTGCCATGTGTCGACTTATATATGGAAGACGTTCTACTCTTATCGAACGATGGCGAGATGTTGACTTCGTTCTGCTGGCAAGCACATGGTTCGAGTTCGGGGCCTGTTTATCCCCCGCCGTGCTTTCTCGGTAACGAGAGCTTCATCGAGCAGAAGGTCCAGCCTCGCCCTGCTTCTCATTCTTTTTAGAGAACTTCTGAAGCTTCATAGTTGCAGAAGCTTATGAGAGGTTTGTAAAGTTGTATTGTATGTTCTGTATAAATCAATGGCTGGATAAGAAGCAATGAGAAGCTGAAGATGAGTTACTATTTAATATGATTTATTTTTTAAATCGATTAAATTACGAGTTTAGTTTTTAAATTTTCAAATTTGTGTGGAAGTCGATGAAATTAAGTTAATGACATTTGTTTTGTTTGGGGTTTTCCTTTCGGGCTTCCCCTCAACGCTTTCACACCCTTACAAAGAGTGTTTTTGTTATCTTCTCCAACCAATATGAAACATCACAGTCCAGCCCCTTCGGGTCTAGTGTCCTCACTGACACTCATTCCTTTCTCCAATCGATGTGGGGCCGCCACCATCACCCCCTTTCGGGACCTAGTGTCCTTACTAGCACATCGTCTCGTGTCTACCCCCTTCGAAAAACAGCGAGAAGGTTGACACATCATTGTGTCTGGCTCTGATACCGTTTGTAACGACTTAGACCCACCACTAGCAGATATTATCTTCTTTGGATTTTTCCTTTTGGGCTTTCACTCAAGGGTTCCACACCCTTATAAATGATGTTTTTGTTCTCCTCTCCAACAAATATGAAACACCACAATTCACCCCCTTTTGAGGCTCAGTGTCCTTACTAGCACATTGTCTCGTGTCTACCTCCCTTCGAGAAACAGCAAGAAGGCTAGTGCATCGTCCGGTGTCTGACTCTAATACCATTTGTAACGACTCATACCCACCACTAGCATATATTGTTCTATTTGGATTTTCCCTCAAGGTTTTAAAATGCATCTGTTAGGGAAAGACTTTCACACTTGAATTTCCATCTCCAACCAATGTAGGGAACCTAACGAAAGTTAAAGTAAGTTATGCTATGATTAGGTAGGGCGGTGACACTTGAATTTTTCAACTTCATGACCAAAAAAAACTTAAATACGATAATAATTCAAATAAACATATTCGAAACAAAGACATATTAGTCTCCACACACCATTTTGTTTTTCCTTATTTATTTATTTATTTTATGCTTTTTTGTAGGCTTTGGCTTCTACCTTTAATATTTAATGTCAAACATTTCGGCATTTTATTTTATTTTATTTTATTTTATTTTTCTTGAAGTAAAAAAGGGCATTTATTCAATTAACAGCAAACAAAAGGACAGTTTTATTTATTTGGATTTATGCTTTTTCTAGAAAGAATAATTTTTTTTCTTCAGCTCGGTTTGGTCGAGCAATTATTTTTATTCTTATTTATTATTTATTCATTTTTTAAGGATATGTTTGTTATTTTTAATTTGACTCCAAATTTAAAAAGTGGTAAATAATGATTTAAAAATAAATAAAAATAATATTATAAACATATATTTTAGAAAAAAGAACAGTAATTAAGCAATATCATCATCATAGTCTTGATTCTAAAAATACGAACATAATTTGATTCGATAAGAAAAATTCAAATTCAAAATTTTCTCTGTTTTTATTATTATTATTATTATTAATATTCTGTTTTTAAAACTTTATATTAATATATATTGGGCTTCAAACTTAATCTAATGCCACCAATATTTCAATAATAATTTTCCAACCTAATACATATTAATAAAAAAAAATTAAATAACACATTTATTTATTTTTATCATAAAATAAATATTTAATAATAAATATAAACCCTATAAAATAAAGAATAGTCTCGTAAATAATTGCATTATCATTCCAATTAATTATTGAATTACGAATACCAATAATAATAATAATAAATAAATAAATAACTTATCCATTTTTTTAATCCTTAAATTTTGAGTCTAATATTATCATCTTACCTCTAAATTTTTAGTTTAATTTTCATTTAATCCTTAAATTCAAAATATTGTTACGTTTTCAGTTTAATTTTAATTTTTTTCATAAATTTCAATATTGATATTATTATCCTGAATTTTTATTAATATTCATATCTCGACATCTCGGCAACGGACTTACGATTGTGTAGCCTTCACTTTTCAGCCACAAGTGAATTAAGTTAATCACGGTCAAGTGAGCTTCTGAGCCCGATTTAAGTATAAATGGTGATTAAATTTAAAATTTAAGAACAAAAAAAAATATAAATTGGAAATTGGTGAGAATGATGAGAAGAGATTCGTTGTTGGGTAAGGATTCGAACCGGCACAGCACGCCCATAGACCATGCTCCCACACTCAAAGTTGCCGCTTTGACTCGCCTAAGTTGCCGCCGTCGATTTCGCCCACCGCCCATCATCGCTTATTGATTACTTAATCGACTCTCCTCTCCGTCAATTATTCCCTTCTTCCTATAAATATCACCCTCCCCAAATTCCATTCTCCCATCCAACCTTACTAAAGATATTATGAAGAACACATCCCAACCAGCTTTTTCTACCGCCGCCGCCGCCGGTAGCCGTAAGCAGCAGCAGCAGCAGCCGCCGCCCCCTCGCCAAGAGAGGATCAAGATGGAGAAAACGCCGACCGTGACAGTGTCGGTGACGGAGGATGTTAATGAAAGTGCTGAAGCTTTCATTAAGAGGTTCAGAAATCAGTTGCTGATTCAGAGGCTTCAATCCATTGAAAATTATGAGAAAATTCTCGCCGGTGAAACTTGAATCCTGTTTTTTTTTTTTTTTTTCAAATCTATTTTATAGTATTTATTGTGTGTGATTTGGCTTAAAAATAAAGAGATTTATGTAATATTGTTTATGAATTTATTATAAATAAATGGTTTTTATTTTATTACTTTTTTTTTTTTTTTTTTTCAAATCTATTTTATAGTATTTATTGTGTGTGATTTGGCTTAAAAATAAAGAGATTTATGTAATATTGTTTATGAATTTATTATAAATAAATGGTTTTTATTTTATTACTTTTTTTTTTTTTTTTTTTCAAATCTATTTTATAGTATTTATTGTGTGTGATTTGGCTTAAAAATAAAGAGATTTATGTAATATTGTTTATGAATTTATTATAAATAAATGGTTTTTATTTTATTACTTTTTTTTTTTTTTTTTTTCAAATCTATTTTATAGTATTTATTGTGTGTGATTTGGCTTAAAAATAAAGAGATTTATGTAATATTGTTTATGAATTTATTATAAATAAATGGTTTTTATTTTATTACTTTTTTTTTTTTTTTTTTTTTTTTTAGTGTTATTAGAAGCCCGGATAATTATAATTATAAGTTTATAATAAAGAAATACTATCTTCATTCCTATAAACTTTATTTTAACGAGGGAAGTGAGTTTAATTGCTTTTGGGTCTATGAGTTATTATTGAATAATTATTGCGACTTTTAATATGGTAAAAAAAGATTCTACGAAAGCTTGAGTCAATTGTCTTTATTGTCACGATGCAATTAAATAACCTATTTTAATATTTATTTAGCATAAATATCTAAATTTATCTTAATTATTTGTATTTATCCACCTATTTATGATAACAAAAATAGTATTAATAATATATTTTAAATTAAAATTGAAATTAGGGAGAAGAGTAGGTAAAATAGTACTACTGACAACACAAAATGCCTAATAAGATTAATAAATATTTATATATTTAATATTACTCCAAAATGGTACATTTTAATTGTTATTATTTTTTTAATTATTTATTTTCATGGGTTCTTCCTGTTCATCTTCTTCAGTAAGTAGTACTAAACCAGCTGGTGAATCTGCTGCTGCTGCTGTATTATCTGACAATTCAACTGCGAACAGGATCGTGACACCTCACCACTCAGTGGTATAACGGGGAGATTATCGCAGTTGCATATCTCGATCATGAACCCATCAGGATCGTGGAAAAACAACTGATCAACGTGTATTCCTCCTTCCTCTACTACCGCCCGCACGTAATCAATCCCCATCTCCTTCAGCATCTTCTCCACCGCTCCCATGCTCTCGCACTGCTCATCGTCGTCGCAACCGTAATCATTACAGATTCAAATCATAATTTCAGAAAAAACCTCAAGTAATTACCTGAAATGATATGTGATTATCCTTGGGATTAATCTCGCTCTTTTTCGGCAAACTCTCTGGTTCTTCCGATTGCAAGAGATGGATTCCAATGCCGTAGCCAAACAGCCTGGAAAACGTCAGATCAAGAACAAAATCATCGCCATAATCAACCACAGAGATTCAGACACAAAAATCAAACAGAAGGAGAAACGATTTTGAATTAGGTTAGAGAAACTTTACCAAGCTCCATCGAAATCGAAGGATCCAGGTCTACGAATCGGGAAAAACCCTAGAACATTCTGGTAAAAATCAATCGACTCTTCCACTGATCTACAAAGAAGCGATATGTGATTTAGCGACTTGAGATGCAGAGGATTTCCTTCAGAGTCCTTCATCTTGTTGGAAATCGAAGAAGAAGACGAAGAAGAAAGGGAAATGTCGGCCAATGAGTAAGAAGGAGAGAAACAGAGAGAAGTGATTGTTACGGAAATGCCCGGAGAAAACGGGGAGACGTAGGACGGTTTATATAAAACTCCTTCAGAAGGTGAGTCATGCCACGTGTCTGTTTATGCTAACGTGGAGGCTAACTCTTGGTATGACTCGTTGCTGACTCGGATCACGGGTAAACACTACCGAATTATTTGTTATGCAAGAATCTTTTTTTTCCCTCTCTCTCCCACACGTCAGATTCCACATTTACTAAAAGTTTTATTTTATTTTATTTTATTTTTTCTTTTCTTTTGCATTTGGGTTTGTTTTTTTATAATAATAATAAAAAAACAAAATTGCATTATTAAAAAAAAATAATTGGTTTCTTTAATTGTACACGTCAAACAAAAATTTATTCAAATTGCACATTAAATATATATTATAAATTATGAATTATTATTATTAACGAATATAAGGTATTTATTTTAAATATATTAAAAAAATTAACAATTTTATTATTTCAAGCTGTTCGTTTATTAAATATTTTTAAATTTTAATAATGTATTAGATAAAAAAAAAATTAAATATTTAAAAATTTATTGGATATAACTCGACAAAAGTGGTTCATTTATATACAACTTTTTTACAAAGTCTATATTTTAGTTGCGTAGTCAAATTTATTTCTTTTAAATGCTAAACTAAAAGACTTTGATAGTCTAAAAAAAAAATAATCATTTTTTTTAAAATATATTTTTTTAAACCCGGCTTATAATTTAAGTATTTATATGTTTAATTTGAGAAAGTGTTTGGTCGTGATTTTCTTTTGCCATTCATCGTTGTTTGTGACTAATGGCTAGTGATTGGAATCGAAGGTCGGTGACTAGCGATTGAAACCAACAACCAATAGTTAGTGACGGGGACTAAAGACAAATGTCTAGCTATTAAGATTGAGGATCGACTATTTGAGACCAGTAAAACTAGGGACGAGTGCCAAGAGACTAATATGGTGATCATAATAAGTGAATGTAGTTTGAAAAATTTATTCATGTTTGTTATAAAATTTCCAAAATGCATAAAAATATAAATTAAATCCGAAAAAATATGAAAATAGTTTAATGGGTTAAAATATTATACAATTAAACTAAAAATTTTATATTTTAAAAAAAAATTATTTACCTTTAAACCTTTTGAATTGCAAAATATATTGAAGTAATTTAAATTATATTGGAATGCAAAACAATCCTTTTATGCTCAAAATAATTATATATATATATAAAAAAAAGACCATTCTTACCTAACAAATTTAAATTGAAGTAATTTTTAAATTAATTGTTTAAATCTTCTATTCTATTATTTTAGATTCTCTTTATCCATATAATTTTTTTAATAAATTTAGATTCTTAATTCATATACGAAATCTTTTAAATTTTAATTTTTATAATTTTTTTTAAATAGGATAAAGTTCTCCTCGTTCCATCCATGGCGTATAGTTTATTAAAAGTTAACGTGAAAAAGCAAAAATATTAATATTAATTATATAAATTTGAAATTTAATTTTTTTTAAGTTGGGTTAAGAGAGGAGATAAAATTTTAATAATGATATCCAAGTGTGCACCACTAATTAATTGTAAAGTGTTATTAATAAAAATAATAATTGAATTAAGGTGGTGGTTTTACAACATTTTTCCACTAAGAAATTAAAAGGTTATTTATTTATTTATTATTGGTTTAAAGTGTACTTAGAGGAGAAAAAAAGCAATTATGGGTTTGAGTAGACATCCCATTGAAATGGATATTTTTTTTAATTAAAAAAAAAAAAAAAACTCTTTGTACTTTCAAACATGTCATTTTCTTGTTTTTTTAATGCGTTTCTTTGTATAATGTTTATTATATCGATTCAAAATTTTTAATGGATTGAGTTGGTGATCTAAATAACTCAACCCAATTCAACTCGAATTAAATTGGGTCGGGTTGTTATTATTTTTTTTAATTATTAAAAAAATCTATTTATCTAGCATACTAGTTATATTCGACTTAAATATATTAAATATTCTTAGTCACAATGCATTAGTTAACATTAGTTATAAATGTCAAATATTTTTAAAGGTAAGGTATAAGAGTAGAATTGAGTAATAACCTGGTTGGATAGTCCTTGGTCAAGTTCTTCAGTCATAATCTTGAACAGTATGTGATTGATATACAAAATTGTTAAAGATAATTATAGTTTGCCATATATATCATATTTGCTAGTGATTATAAATAAGATAACTTTCACCCTATTTAGGTGGGGTGGATTCAGTAAACATTTTAAAAAATAATTGTGATTAAGCAAAACCTAAATAGTTTTATATTGGTTGGGTTGAGTTCTTCATTTAATAAGAATTGTTCGAGTTGAAAAATTCCCGAGTTGAGTCTAAAAAAATATCCCAATTCAACTCAACCAAATTAGTAATATGACATACGTAAGGTTCAAATTCTCATATATCGAAGATATATTATTGTCGAGTGGGTCCGATCAAGATGTCACAAAGTGGTTTGGCCCCAAAATAATTAATATCTTATAGTAAATTTGGCAACCACACATTAAAGATTTTCTCTTCAAATTCATTTCATCCATTCAAAAATAGCTTAGGGAATAAAACACATTTTTTTTTATCATTTTAAATAAAGTTAATTAATACAAAATAAATTATTAATTTACATTATTTTTACTCTATAAAAAAACTTAAGCACAACTTTATTTTATATTATTATTTTTATTTTTACATATAAACTACTTTTGTTGTATAATAATACAAATAAATTTAATTAATACAAAATAAATTATTAATTTACATTATTTTTACTCTATAAAAAAACTTAAGCACAACTTTATTTTATATTATTATTTTTATTTTTACATATAAACTACTTTTGTTGTATAATAATACAAATAAATTTAATTAATACAAAATAAATTATTAATTTACATTATTTTTACTCTATAAAAAAACTTAAGCACAACTTTATTTTATATTATTATTTTGATTTTTACATATAAACTACTTTTGTTGTATAATAATACAAATAAATTTAATTAATACAAAATAAATTATTAATTTACATTATTTTTACTCTATAAAAAAACTTAAGCACAACTTTATTTTATATTATTATTTTGATTTTTACATATAAACTACTTTTGTTGTATAATAATACAAATAAATTTAATTAATACAAAATAAATTATTAATTTACATTATTTTTACTCTATAAAAAAACTTAAGCACAACTTTATTTTATATTATTATTTTTATTTTTACATATAAACTACTTTTGTTGTATAATAAATAAATTTAATTAATACAAAATAAATTATTAATTTATATTATTTTCAATCCGAGACACGTAATGGATAAGATCTGACAATGAACCGTTTGAAATGGGTAATCTATACCATCCATGACTTGGTAAGAATTAAGATTAGCTTCAAAATTATTTTTATCAATAGTAATAATTAAAAATACAAAATTTTGGACTACATATCAATAAAATTATTTATTTATTTATTTATTTATTTTTTGTTGAAATTAGAATAATAATGAAGTGTATTTCTTTAACCCGATAATTAGGTTAAATTCTTATAAAAGTGAAAGTCGATCAGAATGTCGGGTTGACATTTTTTTAGTTGGATCAAACGTCAAAATCCTGAAATAACATTACAACCCAATCCTACCTAAAAAAAATTAATATTTGATATTTAAATTTTATGAGATTTTAATTATTAATATAACATTGATTTTGATTAAATAGTTAAATAATAAAAAAAAACACGACAATCCAACCACTCAACACTCTAAACTCTATTCCAATTTAATTAATTATAAAATGTTTGATTAAATATTAAAAAAAAAAAACTTCAAATATTCTCGGGTTGTTGGCCCAATTTAGCCGGACTCTTGGATTAGTGGGTTAAGGGGCATGTTAGAGTTATCCTATTATCCATTTTTAAAATGCGCCTTAAATATATAATTGCTAATTTTTTTAAAAAAATAAAAAATTTAAAAAATAATATGATTTTTGTAATAAATTAATTTAATTTTATTCTATCCCACAATCTTATTTGAGGGTGTCGAAATATTATAAATTTTAGTCGAAAAATAATTGTTTTTTTTTTAAATTGTAATATAGAACATTATCTAGAATTTGAAAAACGGGAAAAATAGTTATTTTAAAATTTTTATTTTCTAATATAAAATATAATCTTTATTAAAAATTTGTAAATTAAAAAAAATCATAATAAATTAATATATTTCAAAATCAAATTTATATATAGAGTTAATTTTTAAAAATTAAAATTTTAATACTACACCATACCAAATGGATGATGTGCGGCATTAGCTTGGGGACTTTCGACGTCGCGCGCAATGTGGCGACGAGGAAGTTCAGAGGATCAATTGGCAGTCATGTTGGCGACACATTTCTTCAGGCGATGCTCGTTCAAGCGTTTCGGCGGTGGATTGTTCTAGTTGGTGAAGATCCTTTAGCAGCTAACGACGGTGGGTGGATGAGACGGTGGGTGCTTCAAGTTGTTACATATAAACAAACGAAACAGAGAGGGTTTGGTGTCAAATTTATGCTTCAAAAGAAGGATTAAGCAATGGGTTTTAGGTTCATCAACTGGTGGTTAGGGTTTCAAGAATCCTTTTAAGCAACCACCCACCATCTCCTTCTTCTTCTTCTTCTTTCTCTATGTAGCTTTTTCCACACGTGAGAGAAGGCATTGAATGATTGGGATTGACGATGACTTTTAATCCTTATAAAATATTTCAAAGTTGTTGGTGCTGCGCTTCTCGTTCTTTAATGTTTTTTAATAATTTATTGCTTTCTTGTCGAGTTGGTGTTGGTGTCGTTGTTCCAATTATGAGGAAGCGAAGAATCTGTGTTCCTTCTTCTTTAGGGCCTTTGTGATTATTGATTCATTATATTTAATGGCGTCTTGTGAATCTCTTGGGATTTGTGTTGGTCTCCATTTTGGGAATTTGGGTCTTTCTCATGCCTCCCACTACGATCGCATCATTGGGGTTCCAGGGTAATAATCAGCATCTTCTTTGTTCTTCATCTTTGATTCTTTTGATTCTTTGATCCAGATTCTTCATACGAACTCTTTCTGAACTGGGTTTTGTTTGATCTCTCTGTGAGTTGATTTGTGTTTTTTGGTAGATTAAGAACTGTTTGTTTCCTGGTTTAAGCAATCAAAGAGACTCCATGTTAGGTGATGACCAGAAACTTGGTTGTTCTTCCCAAGAACAGCCACTCTGTTCTGGGAATTTGATGATGTTCATGAAGAATCAGGACCCTTCTTGCAGAGATTATTCAGAGGTTTTTTCTGGGGTTTCTTCAAACTATGTTGAATCTGTGGGAGATAGAAGTAATGGTGAAATGATTTTCATTCCACCAGTAGTGGGAATTTTAGATAATCCAAATTTTCAATGTCAGGGTGTTTCACTTAGCCTTTCCACACACTCACCCTCTGTTGTTTCTATGTCTTCATTTCCTCACCAATATCAAACCCCTGCTATGGCTTCTCCATTCATCAATGCATCTCCTTCAATCTTCGAGAAGAGGCCAAATCCAAAACCTTATAATGGTATGCATATAGCAGCGGGATCTGGGAATTCGACGTTGAATTTGGTATACGTCAAAGCTGCACAGCAGGTGCTCGACGAAATGGTTAGCATCCGGGAAGCTTTGAAAGAGCTGAAGTCTAGGAAACTCAAAGGTTCCAGTGGGTTGGGTGTTGATTTCTGTAGAGAAAATGATGGGGGATGTAATGATGTGAATGGGGAGATATGTTCCGGTTCGAGGGAGTTGTCGATCGTGAATTCATTGGGTGATTTATCGCCTACCGAACGACAGGATTTGAAGAACAAAAACTCAAAGCTTTTGTCCTTGTTGGGTGAGGTAAGGCAACAGCTTCTTGATGTGTTCTAGCTCAATTTGTTTATGTTAGATGCTTTGTTCTAGCTCAAATTGTTCCTATGAAAACTTGCTGATATTGTAGAAGTTCCTATTATTCTTCTATTTGCTGTTGAGGATTGTTATCCAATCCAACTAGTTTCTCAAACGGTTTGATATCTATGTCTATGTCGAACGTTTTGCAGGTGGATCGAAGATACAAGCAATATTACGAACATTTGCAATTATTGTCGTTGTCTTTCGACATGGTAACAGGCCGGGGGGCTGCAGAGTTCTACACCGCACTTGCACACCAGACTATTTCGTGTCACTTTCGACGCATGCAAGATGCAATCAATGCACAGATTGAGGTCACCAGGAGAACATTGGGGGAGCAAGATGCTTCCCATTTTGTTCAAGAAGGCATTCCCCGTCTCCGCTTTGTCGACCAGCACCTCAGGCAACAGAGGGCACTTCAACAGCTCGGTGTCACGCCACATAGTTGGAGGCCTCAACGAGGGCTTCCTGAAAGCTCCGTGTCGATTCTTCGCGCTTGGCTGTTCGAACACTTCCTCCATCCGTATGCCCTCTAAACTCCTCATTACATATTGTCAACATCTGGATTAGCCATTGTTTACATTTGTTTTTGGCTATTGTCCATAGATATCCCAAGGATTCGGAGAAGCTTAAGCTATCAAGACAAACTGGCCTGACCAGAAACCAAGTAATGTCTTTAATCCTCAAACCAAAATCTCGATATTTCGGCCTCTAAACTCAACCATCTGCTTGTGGATTCGAACGGCATATGTGTATATATTCTTATACATCTCGTTTTTGTTTCATTTAGGTTGCAAACTGGTTTATAAACGCGCGTGTTCGGCTATGGAAACCGATGGTTGAGGAGATGTACAAAGAAGAATTCGGAGACTCCGACATCAAATCCTCACCAGAAAATGCATCCAAAGCATCATGGAACAATTCACTATTCTCTGAAGATAGAGGAGGGGACGAGTTGCACGAGCAAGTCCTCTACCGCTCGTGTTCTACCGACGACATGATTAAGTCGACTAACTTCTCGGTCGGAGGAGACGTCTCACTTGCGCTGGAGTTGAAGCATTGTGAAGGTGATGAATTTGGGATGTTTGGGAGTAGTACCAACAGAATGGTTGGTTCAGTGGAGCTTGAGGCACAAGATTTGCCATGTTTGGAACCAGAAAGGCATCATCAATGCAGGCTAACCAGCTCAAATATGTTGCATGATTTTGTAGTTTGAAACTCTGCTCTTGTTCATCACAGGAGAACAAATTTAAACATACATGTATATAAGGGTATATGGGCAAATTTATAGTTTAAGAAGTCCAGATTTTGTTGGAAATCGATTTATTTTACTTGCACGACTTCGTCCTAAACGGGTAATGGAGGAGACAGTGAGGAACAGTTTTTATTCTTTAGATAAATAGGGTCGGGGACAAGATTATATTTCCTATACTCGTCCCTGTTTCCATCGAATTCCTTGCCCTGTCACCATCACGCTTAATATAAATATATTTTCAACACATATTATATATATAATACTTAAATTAATTGGAATCACGTCCTAATCCTCACAAAAATAAAGTAGAGAATTTTGCTGAGATGGTTATAGTGAAGGCTTCTCATCGCCACCCCATCCCGTGGGGGATGTTTAGTGAAGGCTTCTTATCGCCACCCCATCCCGTGGACGTATACGTTCTTGTGGGAAGATCAAGAGGGCAATGGGGACTAATTTAACTTTAGCAGTAAAATCAATTTTGACCAATAAAGTTTAATAAATTTTAATCTTAAGAATTCAATTTTATCAAATTTTAAACTAATTTCTTGTGGATTTTCCTTTCTTCTTCCGCTCAAACTAATCTCTCTTTACTGCACTCTCGTCACAGAGTGGAGGCTTGAGGTATCTTCCTTCTAGTTCTTGAATTTTCTCGGATTTCTTGTTTCTCAATTCTCCAGATTGTCATATTACTTGGTTGAATTTATGGGGTTCTTTCCCCTCCTGCAAGATCTTCGATTGTTCACTCCATCTTCCCACGCCCTTAAGCAAATTTGTTAAGTGAATCGAGGGCTTTGCTGAATTGCGATTAGCTTATGCGTGTTGAATCGTTGAATTCCCACCTTCTCCATCAACCACCTACGATACGAATGATGAAACGTCCCTTTTTAACTCTTACAATGGCGAAGATGAGATGGCCATTGATGATCTTAGCACTGGTTTCCATTTCCACCGCAATGGTTTTCTTCATGAGGACTACGTTCGATTCTTGTAGCGGCAATGTGAATAGACGATTTGTGGAAGAAAATGGTATCGATTCACAGATTCGCTCCTCCCAGATTGAGAGAAAAGATCCGAATCCGAATCCTCTTGATTTCATGAAATCGAAGCTTGTCCTCTTGGTCTCACATGAGCTATCCCTTTCTGGTATTATTGGAATCCTATTTTCTTGATAAACCACCTAGCCATTGCCGTTGGAAGTAATTTCTTTTAGAAATTTGACCAAGAGCTCTTAGTTTGGCTACAGGTGGGCCTCTACTACTCATGGAGCTTGCATTTTTGTTGAGAGGCGTCGGTACTGAAGTTGTTTGGATCACTAATCAAAAGCCATTGGAGCCCGATGAAGTAGCATACAGTTTGGAGCGCAAGATGTTAGATCGAGGAGTCCAGGTTACATTGATCTTTTAAATTATCTGCACTTTGGGAACTCTTTGATTAGTGTAATTCTTCGTATGTGATTAAATACTTGATGTGTTTCAAAATTACAGGACTGAAAATTATGCTCAATTATATTGTTTTGGCTTCCATTAGACCATAAGTAATGATCCATTTATTTATATTCTAGCTACTGAGGTTAAATTAGCAGACTAAGTAGCGAATTCTACTTGTTCTTAAGTTGATAGCATATTTTCGTTCGTAAGGTGTTAGATGCTAAGGGACAAGAAGCTGTTGAAACTGCTCTAAAAGCTGATTTGGTTGTTCTAAATACCGCTGTTGCTGGGAAATGGTTGGATGCTGTCCTCAAGGAGAATGTTCCCCGTGTTCTTCCCAAGGTTCTGTGGTGGATTCATGAGATGCGAGGGAACTATTTCAAGGTTGAGTATGTGAAGCACCTTCCTTTTGTTGCAGGTGCCATGATTGATTCACATACAACTGCAGAATACTGGAAAAACAGAACACGAGAACGATTAGGGTATGATTTCAGTTACGACGACAATTTTCCTACGTATATAGCCGATTCTTTTTACTAAGTATAATCATAAGCTAGCTTGGGGAGGTATAGAGGCATATGCTTTTGTTTAAAAATCGAGTGCTAATTATAATTTAGATCTCGGATGATCTTCTTCTTTTCCCCTCATGTTGTGCGTTTTGTATTGTTCAAATTTAAATATATTGATCATTTCGCGATGCACTGTGAATACTCTCCTAGAACCTTTGGTCATAATCTGAAGTTTGTTCTCCTTATGTTTTCCAGGATTAAAATGCCTGAAACTTATGTCGTGCATCTTGGAAATAGTAAAGACCTTATGGAAGTGGCTGAAAATAATGTGGCCAAGAGGGTTCTTCGAGAGCATATTCGGGAGTCCGTTGGAGTTCGGAATGAAGATATATTGTTTGCAATTATAAACAGTAAGCTCATATTCCTGATCATAAATGTCTTCTATCGATATTGTCTACAATTGAATGTTTTCTGAGTATAGAAATTCGGCGAGTAAGAAAAGAACTATTGATATCATGTTTGAATGAAGTTTAATTCTACGATATTTAAAAAGGTGGGAAAAATCATACGAAGTTTTATTGTCTCATTTAAAAATAATTTTTTTTTCGAATAATGCGACTCTCTCCTGTATTTGGGATGCTCTTTGTTGACTAATTTGTTGCGTCTCGAGAACCTTATTTCCTCTAGCTCCAATAATGAAATGGAATGATGCCTTGTTCGGCCCTTTCTATGAAATAATGCAGTTTTGTATTTTGTTTACTAATTTGATTTTTATTTGACTTAATTTTCAATGAAGTGTATTAATGTGAATTGTATTGCGACATGTGATCGATGTGATTCCAGGCGTTTCACGTGGGAAAGGTCAGGATTTATTTCTCCGAGCCTTTCATCAGAGCCTGCAAATGATCCAAGATAAAAAGCTGCAGGTACCAAGGATACACGCAGTGGTAGTTGGCAGTGACATGAGTGCTCAAACAAAGTTTGAGACAGAACTGCGTAACTTTGTAAATGAGAACAAAATCCAGGATCGTGTCCATTTCGTCAACAAAACCCTGTCTGTGACTCCTTATCTAGCTTCCATTGATGTTCTTGTTCAAAACTCTCAGGTACTATAACTGTTTAAAATGCACCCATTTGCGTTTGAGAAAGTATGCGAAATTCTTTGTTTTCGTTCCTGCTAGTTCCATTTGCTCGTCTTTCCTTGACTAGATGGTTAATCACGGTTTTGCCTATGCGATCATTAGTGCAACGGGTTGTTTCCCTCTTCTATCTTTCTCCTCATTTTAGCTTTGTTGCAATGACCTTCCCTATTGCATAAAATGTTAGCTTTGTTGCAAGAGTTTTTTTTTTTTTTGTTTCGTATTATGGAACAGTAGTCTAAACCTTCCTTCGCCTAGTTTCTCCTCATTTTAGTTTTTTTTTGTTTTTTTTGTTTTTTTTGTTTCATATTTCTACAGTTCTAAACCTTCGCTTATCAATGGAATAGTAGTCAGGACTGGACTATAATTGGTTTCACGAAGTCTATTGTCATTCGATTAGATCTCTAGTCATATAGTATAATTTATGTGAGATCTCACATCGGTTGGAGAGAGGAACGAAACATTCCTTGTAAGGGTGTAGAAACCCCTCCTTAACAAACGCATCTTAAAAACCTTGAGGAAAAACCGGAAAGGAAAAGCCTAAAGAGGACAATATTTGTTAGCGATGGCCTTGTGCTGTTATACTATAATATTTGGATTTTGATTTATATTTGCATATTAGGTCTAGACTATAATTGGTTTCACAAGTGTATTGTCATTCGATTAAATCTCTAGACATAGTATAATTTATGTGTGAGATCCTAGATCGGTTGGAGAGAGGAATGTAGCATTCCTTACAAGAGCGTGGAAACCTCGCGAACACTTGTTAAAAATCATGAGGAAAGGCTCGAAATGAAAAATCTGAAAGGGAAAGCCTAAAGAGGACAATATCTATTTAGTGTGATATCTGGATTTTGATTTATATTTGCATACTAGGTCTGTAAAACCCATCCGATTTGATATTTTTTTTAGTCTTCAAAGCTGCTATTCACCATATGTGTGTAGAGTAGGGGAGAATGCTTTGGAAGGATAACGATTGAAGCAATGGCGTTTCAGCTGCCCGTGCTGGTAAGTTGTCTACCTCGTACATTTCTGATGCAATGGCGTTTCAAAGAATACTATACTTAGAAATCTCATTATCCCCTCTACATATCTGATGAATTCTCTTGCATTGTCCAATACATAACATGTACGTCAAGGGCACGGCTGCTGGAGGAACAATGGAGATCGTAGTGAACGGGACGACAGGTTTGCTGCATCCTGCAGGCAAAGAAGGCGTAACTCCACTGGCACAGAACATCGTGAAGTTAGCGACGGATGTCGAGAGAAGGCTGACTGTCGGAAAGAAAGGATACGAGAGGGTGAGGCAAATGTTTCTGGAACAGCACATGAGCCAAAGAATTGCTGTAGTTTTGAAGGGAGTTCTGCAGAAAGCCAAGAGCCACATTAGCCATTAGCTTTCAGCAGAATAAGCATCACACACACACACACACACACACACACACACACGACCATACAAAAATCATTAAGTGGATAAAGATAGTACTTATTATTTTATTTTATATGTCTTTGATTCAATCCTTCACTTTTGACTTGAAACTATCTCTATCTAATTACATCATTCCAAATTAGTGAAAAAAAATTGAAGTATAAAAATCGGTTCATGCAGGTCGCTTTTGGTTCATTCCAGTTCAGAAATTGGACTTTTTGTTAATGATCTTGAGTAGCATGTTTATGTTGACAAACGATTTGAGGCGAAAGAGCGAACAAGAAGGTTTTTCCATTGTTATACGAGAGGGAGACAGGCCTGCTTATCAGTTATAACAGTAACCCATCTTTTGATAGAGTAGACAAGGGTCGTTTTAATTATTTGTCTCGATTGATTATTTTAGTCTTGGAAACCATAGATCTAGGAGCTCAAGCGTGACCTTGCAATAGGCCTCGGGACGCTTCTTTAAGTCGATTTTTTCACTCTGTAAATGCTGCTAGTTTGACTCAAAGGAAAATAGAAAGGCAATCAATCTGATGTGAGTTTATATTATATGGAATTTGGGGGTTCTTCCTACAAGAGAATGTGAAAACCAAGATAATAAGCTAGTTTGTTTGTTGGCATTGATTCTCATCAACTCCTCTGGTAATTGTCAATACTTGTCTCTCAATCATTGGATGTTATCACAAGCAATCCCAATGCACCAATGAGAATATACTGCAAGAAACACGTATAACTTTTTTACTGAAAGGGGAATGTAAAAACGAATTGACAGTGGGAGGGTGAAAATATTTGCTAACCTTGATAATTGGCTTCTCAGTCATGATTATAGTCACCCATCCGACGTATGGTAAGAACCTGAGGATCAGTCATGAAGAGATTTGTTTTCTTAGTCAACCAGCACACATTTTTTTGAACAAAAAAAGAATTTATAAGCATAGCCACAAGAACATAGAAAAGAACATATCACAAGCCACATGGAAAGCTTATCATACACTTTTGAAGCTAAAAAAGACACCCGCATACAGATTAGTCATAACTTCTTCCTCACGAAACTAAAATTAAAAGTGTATTATAACAGCCCAAGCCCAAGCCCACAGCTAACAGATATTGTTCTCTTTTGGTTTTCCCTTCAAGAGTTTTCTCTCATGGTTTTAAACACATCGGCTAGGGAGATGTTTACACGTCCCGGTAAGGAATGCTTTGTTCCCCTCTCCAACCAAGGTGAGATTTTACAGTCCACTTTCCTTGGGGACCCAGCGTCCTCACTGGCACACCGCCCGATGTCTGGCTTTGATATCAGTTGTAACAGCCCAAGCCCACCGCTAGTAGATATTGTCCTCTTTAAGCTTTCCCTTCAGGGGTTTCCTCTCAAGGTTTTAAAACACATCCGTTATTCCCTAACCAATGTGGGATCTGCTTGGAATGCATTCCAATTTTTAAGCAGTTAAAGAGCAGAAAATAAAAGGTGTGCAAAATTCTTACCCAACAGCTCTGCCCATGATGTGATGCCGTTGAAGCCATTGCTGACCTTGTGCATACAAGAGTCTGTCATCACCATAGTTGTTATCTCCTGATGCCACAAAGGTAAGTGTTATAGGAGTGCAGCAAATGAATCATGATATCAGTTGAAAAAACTATTCCTAATCACAGAGGTTTCTAAGAACAACTATTCAAATTCACAACAATTTGTTCTATATAATGTCCTACAAGCTGGCACCTTTAGTAAGTACATCGACTTCTCCGCTATCCTGACGTTCGTGAACCTGCAAAAATGAAGAACTCCGATTAATTTGGTTAGCACTTATAAGATTCTTAGATCAGAAACCCACAGCATGACTTTTCTGATACTACATTTAAAGAAACACCAAAACTAGCACATTCTGTTTTCAAGAACTAAAATTTGCCTTCAAGAACTCAAAGTGCACACTTTTGGAGAGTGTGGCAAGTGGTGGAATAGATGATTCATTCTTGAATAAAATGGTAACTCTAGTTTCAAAGGAGATTAAGATTTGATCAAATGATCAGTATACTGAATTCACCTTAATTACACGATGGACGATTGGAATTTCGCGGCCCTGAACAAGAAAGACAACAAAAGAACACATCAGTTCAATAGAACTTCATATGCCTTCTGATTGCATAAGAAAATCCAGCGTTGGAAAGCCTAGTAGCCAGAGGTGAAAGCTAAAAATAATGAATTTCAAGCTCGATAGCCACCAAATACTTACGTCAACATTAAAAACGACGATCTCCCCAGTACGAATAGGATCCTTGCTCATGTGCAAGAACAAAATATCACCCTGAACAACAGTATACATTGCTCTGATTACATGAGACAGATGAGAAAGGATAATGTTAAAGAGAACATGTGGGGTAAGTAATAAGTATCATCCTATACACAAGACTCGTAATCCCCACACAAAGCTGTACAAAATGCAGCTTAAAATCCCCAATCCATCAGTAAACAGTCGACAATAAACCCTTTTATTTCTCTCCAAGCAAAATCCCTAATTGCCAAAGAATTCTCAGCCTTTCAGAATTTATCAAACTACTCTTTAGAAAGGGAAAGAAATCGCCAATCGATAGGGAGATATTATCCTCCTTGGACTTCCCCTTCTGGGCTTCCTCTCAAGGTTTTAAAACGCGTTTGATAGGGAGAGGTTTTCACACCCTTATAAGGAGTGTTTTGTTCCGCTCTCCAACCGACGTTGGATCTCACAATCCACCCCCCTTGAGGGCCCAACGTCCTCGTTGGCACACCGCCCGATGTCTGGCTCTGATACCATTTGTAACGGCCCAAACCCACCGCTATCAAATATTGTCCTCTTTGGGCTTTCCCTTTCGGGTTTCCTCTCAAGGTTTTAAAACACATCTGCTAGGGAGAAGTTTCCACACCCTTACAAGGAATGCTTAGTTCCTGTCTCCAACCGACGTGGGATCTCACATTCAATAAATATGACATTAATTACTATCCAAAAGTCGACTATTATATCCTCCACCCAACAACTATTAGAACTCAAAAAACGGGAGAAAGGGAGGAAGGAATCTTCACTCCAATGGTTTACCACTGATCATAAAAACTTTCTCCAAATACTGTGACCTCTTCCCTAATTCCACTCCCTCTTTCTACAAAAATCCTTTATTTTCCTCCGTTTTCTTTTGAGAGAGAAAGATACCTATGCCCCAATCCCTCCACTTTCTATATAATGAATCTTGATTATATGGAGTGATTCTCCTCAAAAAAATCCTCGTGGATTATCAAAACTAATATGATTACTTACCCTCTTGAATCCAGGTTCCATGCTTCCAGACAAGACGACAACAACAGGGGACTCACTGCCAGTGATGCACATCAATCCCTTCCAGATTATAAGAGCAGATGTCACGATCAAACCTGAAAGGGAAAGAACTCTACTAAATGGGTTTGGACTGAATATTCGGACTAACAAAGAATTGCAAGAACATTTCAGCATGATGCTGAAATATGCAGAATCCACTTGAAAACAAGAAGGGTATGGAAACAATTCAAACGAAGAAATTACATAATTTCCTGAATTTGTTTGCAATAAACAAAAACAGGGTCTGTGAGACTACCAGAGTTGAGCAACCAAATACAAACAATTCTCGATCGCAGGACACAGATCGAGCACGAAAATGGGTTAATAAAGGCAATAGTTAAGAGACCGAAAGAGCATACGCACCAAGACTGACGGCCTGAGTAAGGAGCTGACGGATCTGAATAGATTTAATGGAGCCGACGGTGTCGCCAATCCAACCCATTGCGATTGCTTCGTCGAGCCCTCGGAGTCTACGGCTCGTTCGTTCTTACAGTTCTCGCTTCTGAATACGATTTTGGCGGATGGCTGCCTAAAACCCTCGCTTCATTTCGGAGACGAATGTCAGATACTTTTTCTTTTCTTTTCTTTTAATTATTTCATTATTTTTTAAAAAAATAATTGGTTGATTTTTTTAATCATATTTGAATTAGATCATTTTCACCTAATTAAGTTATTAAAAATACCCTAATTTAAATTAAATACTTTTAAATTTTAAAAAATGTTTTAAAAAATAAGCTTTCAAATATTCGTAAATTTATTTCTATTTAAAAATTATTCATAAAAATGACATTAATATTCTTAAATATTTTTTTAAAATATTTTAAAAAATTAAGAGAGATAATGTATAAATAAAAATACATGTAACTTTTTTTTTAATATAAACACATACGAGATTGTGTTTCAAGCCATAAATAATTTTTAATTACTTTCCTAATTTTATAAAATTTATTAAATATATAATTTGAAATTAAATAGCTACTTTTATATTTTATTTACGACTTTAGATATGCCCATTTAAAAAATAACTATTTTATTTTTTTATTTTGAAAATGTTTATTTTAATTTCTAAATTTTTAAAAGAATTTAACCATTTAAACTAAAAATAAGAATTTACTCAGATATTATGGTTTCGGTTTATTATTAAAATAGGGAAAAAAATGGGTTTGAAAATAATAATAAAAAATAAAAAAAGGAAAATTTGAAAATGCTATTTATATTTAATCATTTCCATTTGTGGTAGTAAAATGAGAAGGGGTATTTTGGTCATCTTTCATTTCCTATTAGCGGGAAGAAGTACCTAACTTAACGACCATCATAGCTAGAATTGTTCTTTGCCATTCTTTGGTTATTTCTCCGTTCTTTCTTACTCTAACAACTGGTGCACAATAGCATCCGCCGTTGCCGACGCTATTGTGCACTCCTTTCCCGCCGCCACCACCACCACCACCACCGTGCAATGGGGAAGAAACTGCCGCGGGATGACATCGAGTCCATGTCCTATGGGGTTCGAAAGCCCCTCTCCATGCCGCCGCCACCGAGCTATTATCCTCCGCCGCCCAAGCCCTGGTTCCCATTTCTCGTACCTCTCATTTTTGTAGCCGATATCGCCTTGTTTGTTTTCACATTGTATGAAAATAACTGCCCCGCCACCACAGGCGGCAACCGCTGCCTCTTTTACCCGGAGCTCGACCGCTACTCCTTTCAACCATTTTCAGAGAACCCTCTTCTGGGCCCTTCAATCATGACGTAAGAATCAAAACCCTCTTTCTAGCTACAGAAATTACTCGATGGATTAGAACAATGAGTATTTCATTAGGGCTTGCGATTCTATGAGAATTTCGGAAACTGTGTTCATTAGGGCTTGGTCTAATTGAATAATTATTCGTTAAATTAGGGGAAATTAGTATATGGGTTTGCTGAATTTGGATGAAATCTGATGACCCATCAAGAAAAAACATGATTTCTGGAATTTTTTCTCCTGGATTCTGCAGAATTAGGGCAAAAACAGGGGAAATTATTGGTTTGATTTGTTTTTTTCTTCTGCGTTTTGGAAAATGGTGTTGCAGTTTGAAACGATATGGGGCTTTAGATAGAGAAGCAGTAGTGGAACGTGGGGAAGGATGGCGCTTGCTGACCTGTATGTGGCTTCATGCTGGAGTCATTCATTTGCTTGCAAATATGATCAGCCTTCTCTTCATAGGAGTTCGTCTCGAACAAGAATTTGGATATTGTAAGCCCATAAGATCGGTTTGGAATGACATTTTAAGTGCTTGAAAAGCCATTCCAAATAGACTCGTAATGTGGTATGTATCGAATCTTGACGACATTTGGTGTTTGTTTTTGGTTTTGGCAGTGAGAATAGGATGCTTGTATGTGCTTTCTGGGTTTGGTGGGAGTTTACTGTCATGTTTGAGTATCAATCCAGCTGAAACAACCATATCAGTGGGTGCATCAGGGGCACTTTTTGGGCTTTTGGGAGCTTTGCTTTCAGAGCTCATAACAAACTGGACAATATATTCAAATAAGGTACCAAAAACAAACAAAACCCTTCATTTGTTTCCATTGAACTATTGAAGATTTATGAACTTATAATGACTTGTTTTGTCAATGAAACTCAGTGTGCAGCCATGATGTCTTTGATTCTCATCATTGCCTTAAACCTGGCAGTCGGATTCATACCTCACGTCGACAATTCCGCTCACATCGGAGGCTTCCTTTCAGGCTTCCTCCTCGGCTTCATTCTCCTAATCCGACCACAATTCGGATACGTTAACCCCAAGTACATCCCTGCAGGGTGTGATGTGAAACGTAAATCCAAGCACCAATGCTATCAGTACTTTTTGTTGCTTGTAGCTCTAATCCTCTTGATTTTTGGGTAATCGAAATTGTAGTTTCAGCAACGATATTTTCCAGTGTTGCTCGAGTTTTTTCGGTTAACTTTTTTCCATTGCGATTTCTGCAGATATGCTTCTGGTTTATCAAGGCTGTACAAAACTGGTCCACAAATATTGGAAGCCAATATTTTCTGAAGACAGTCACATTGAGTTGTTGGTGAGAATCAAACTACTTTGGCTTCATAATTGTTTGTGGATGAAGTTCATGAAATCATTTAAATTTGTATTCATACCATGAAATCATTCTAATCTGAAAGTTCGATTTCTTCTCACTTTGCAGTAGCAGAAGAATTGTATTGTAGAAAACACTCACTTCTTTGTTTACAAAATGAGGACTTTTCTTTTCCTTTCCTTCTGTCTTTCTTTTTGTTTCTTCGATTCCTGTTGCTTTTGGTTCAGTACGGCCTAGACGAGACAAATGTTGTTGACGATGGGTAGCACCTCGTTTCACCTATCGAGATATAAAAACTCATCTTTGTAGGAGACTGCCAGACTGCTCGTCATGTGATGGGTAGTCCTTGTATTCACCTCTTGAGATATAAAAACTCATCTATAGAGGAGACTGTAAGACTGCTCGTCGTATGATGGGTAGCTCTTAGATTCACCTATCAAGATATAAAAACTCATCTACAGAGAGCAGTCGTATGATGGGCAGCCCTTAGATTCACCTCTCGAGACATAAAAACTCATCTATAGAGGAGACTGTTAAATTGCTCGTTATATGATGGGTAGCCCTTATATTCACCTCTTGAGATGTAAAACCTCATCTCTAGAGAAAACTGTTAAACTGCTCGTCGCACAATTGGTAGCCCTTAAATTCACCTCTCGAGATATACAAAACATCTCTATAGGAGACTGTCAAATTGCTCGTTATATGATGGGTAGCTCTTATATTCACCTCTTGAGATATAAAAACTCATCTCTAGAGGAGACTATAATAAGACTGCTCGTCAATGATGGGTAGCCCTTAAATTTACTTCTCGAGATATAAAAAACTCATCTCTAGAGGAGACTGTTAGACTGTTTGTCATATGATGGGTACCCCCTCAATTCACTTCTCGAGATACAAAAACTCATTTCTAGAGGAAACTGTTAAACTGCTCGTCATATGACGGGTAGTCCTTAAATTCACCTCTCGAGATATAAAAACTCATCTCTAGAGGAGGGTAGAAGCTCTAAGATGAGTATGTCCTGTATTCTCGATATGATTTCATTCTAAGAGAATTTTTCTTGTAGTTCTTTTCAAGCAATAATACGTGTTGTAGCTAGTTAGAAAAAACCACTTGGAATGAGAAAACCGAGCTCTGCTATACAATTATTATAGAGCATAAATTTATAGAGCTATTTATTTAAAATTTTGATTTATATAAATATATATTTCTCTTAAAATTTATATTATATTTGAATATAAATTAGATCAAGATTTTGTTATTATAATATAAATTATAACATTACTTTATATTATTTATTTAAATAATTGTCAAAAATATTTATTAAAAGAGCTAGCAATCAATTAAAACCAATAAAAAAAATTCATATAGAAAAAAAATATTATTTTTAAATTTTAAAGAGAAAATTAAAAGGGAAAAATATATTTTTTAAAAAATAAATCAAGTGGCGTTGGCGGTCCAGTTGTTCACCGTCTCCTCGCGGGGGGAGTTTGAGGAGTTTTTATTTGAGCTGCTTTCGCGGATCGTTCGGGTCTCTCTCGTCTCTAATTGACACATTCCAATCATCTCTTTTTCAATCTGAATCTTCATATTTAATCCCAGCTGTAAAGGTTTGGATCTGATCTGATTTGATTTGATCTTCATTCTTTGCTCCCGGACCTCCGATTTCACCTACAAGTTCGTATCTGTGTTATTTCATCGCTTTGTTTCCTCTATTTTTGTACTGATTTGTATTGTTTGTATTGTGTTGCTGATTTACGTTCGTGACATTATGTTTCCTGCAAAACTGCTGGATTCTTATGTGTATGTAATTTGTTTTCGGCGCTGTATGTGGTTCTTTCTTTGTGTGTTTGAATGTGATTTCGATGGAGTTTTCTGATCTGTGGATGGAGCTGAGTTTGGGACAAATAGGAAAATTAGAACCGCTTGAATTCTGTTCGGAAACAACTACGAATGTTTTCCTCTGCCTAACATGTTGCTTTTGTGATGAGATGTTGAACTAGCTGTGTGACAAGGTTGGAAGGTCTCTTTGTATCAAGATGCTCATATTCCTGATAATTTTATTCCTACAATACCTCTTTCTGGAGGAAAAGATTTTGCTCCCCCAAATGTTGGGAAATATTTTTGATGCGATACAAAATGCTAAACACCTGATTTACATCACAGGATGATCTGTTTATACAGAAATTGCCTTGGTAATGGACTCAAGAAGGCCAAAGCCTGGAGGAGACATTATGCTTGGTGAACTGCTTGAGAAGAAAGTAAGTGATGGTATCAGAGTTTTTATGCTTGTGTGGGATCACAGAACATCAGACGGTTTACTAAAAAAGATGGTTTGATGGCCACCCATGATGAAGAAATTGAAAGTTATTAGGATTCTTGGAGTCCACGGGCTAATTGAGGGGAAGATCATGCACATGAGTAAGGGACACTATTTCTATCGGTGCAAGACCTTTTGGAGAAACTAAAAATAAGGTCAGCAAAATGGATAAATCATACCATTGTGGAGTTTCTTTGCTCCTGTCTCTGATATCAAAATCTTGCTCTTATCTTAACTTAGACATGTTAAAAGCATTCTCAAATATGTGAGCCTCAAACGTGTGGTCAGAGTGAAGATTCGTGATAGAGTTTTATTGGGCTAGCAATGTGCTCAAGAGAAGAGGAATCATAAGATAGTGTACTTTGTTTGAGGGGAAGAATCGTGTGTATACGGAAACCAAAAGTAAAGCTGCGAGAGGTTATGTTACCCCATATGATAGATTGGTAAGCAATGTTCATATATCTCAGATTTGTGTAGTTTGATTAACATTAACTTCCAAGGCGCATGGCTTAATCTTTATTCCTGATCATCTACGTACTGAAATAATATGCCTTCATTGTTGAAACACCACGCTAGATGATTTACCAAGGAAGCAGACAGTAAGTATCAGGAAAAGATAAGTGTCACGTGGAACACAGAAGTTTTTTAACTGCATAACTACGAGTTCCTTTTGTTTTCTGAGCATGTTTTTATATTGAAACAATGGAGTTAAAACATCTACTGCAGTTGATGATGAGTACATAATTGTTGGATCGGCCAATATCAACCAGAGATCCATGGATGGTGCAAGCAAGGGACTCTGAGATAGCAGCAATGGGAGCATATCAGCCATATCATCTATCAGCCTGTGAAACCTGCACGTGGTCAAGTTCATGGGTTCCGTTGGCTCTATGGTACGAACATCTTGGTATGCTCGATGAATTTGTCATTCGACCAGAAACAAAGAATGTGTTGCAAAGAATGAGTCACACATTGACTAATTAAAGGGAAGATCCTGAGTTTATAAATACCAAATACTATCTTCATTGGTATGAGGTCTTTTAGAGAAATCAAAATTAAAGTCACGAGAGCTTATGTTCAAAGTGGATAATATCATATCATTGTGGAGATCTTTGATTCCTAACAGCTTAGTCACCTCTTCCGCTATCCAGTTGGCATATCTAATAAATGGATCTTCAAAGTGGATAATATCATATCATTGTGAAGATCGTTGATTCCTAACAATTTAGTTACCTCTTTCGCTATTCAATTGGCATGTCCAATAAAGAGAAATAACATCCATGATTTGAGTACGTCCCCTTCCCCGACACCCCTTCCCCGACACCGAAGCTCTCGTATACTTGACCGAATCCAACTACCTCCTCACCATCCTCACTACCCAGTCAAGTTTCCTACTCAAAACATGGATGTTATATTTAGAATAGGAATACAAATAAGACATCAAAATAATTTTTTTTAGTTCATATCTATATATATATATATATATTTTATTTATTTATTGGAAGGAAATTTGAGATTTTGAGAATATGGGTGGCATGAGCATTTTTATTTCAAGATATTGAAATATTTAATAATTTAAAATTTCGAGGACATGAGTTTGTGGGTAGTTGGCTGTTGAAATTTTCTGAATTATTAAATTCTTAATTTATTCAATTTTTTTTTTAATAAACACACATATATATTAAATTTTGGAAGGGTTTTTTAAAATCATAATAGAAAATGGATGATCAAACATTGAATTTTTGATGTATAAATAGTGTTTATAAACTTTATTTAAAAAAAAAAAAACTAAATGATCATCAAAGATTTTATTTGTCGGTTTTGTTTTTAAAAAGCTGATTTTTTTTTATTAAGGATGTTCGTAGGTTGAGTTAAAACATTTTTAGACATAACTAAATTGTTTCGATTATAAATTTTTTTAACCTGAACCACTCTTATTAAATAATAAATCCTACATATTTTCGATTCCAATAATTTTTTTTAATAAAAGTAAAATTTAGAACTTTTTAAAAAATTACATTCCAAAGAAATAAAATATATTATATACGTAAATAAATAATTATATAATAAGAAAAATGTATATTTTAAAATTGGTCGTTTGGTTCGATCCCGAATAACTCATTTTATTTATTAGATTTATCGCAAATAAGAATAATATATATATATATATGAGACCCACCAATTATATGTGGCAAAAGAATGATTAAATTGGCTGCCTTTCATAATTAGTATGTTTTGGATTAAAGGCAACCAAAAAAGACTATTAAATTATTATTATTTTATATAAATTAATAGCTTAAAAATAAAATTTGACAAAATTAAAAAAAAAAAAAAAAAAACCCCACAAATTTAAAAGGTGTCATCAATTAATCATACTTTATTTCTCCCTTCACATCATATTATCCTTTAAATTATGCTCTTTTTAATTAAATAATTTTAAAATCAAATACCTTGAAATTAAATAAATAAATAATTGTTTGCTTGTATAAGTAATTAAAATTCTTAATATTTTAGTGAAATAAAATATATTCATCGAGATTAACGAGACAGAATATTTGATTAATCAGATTAATTAAACGGTGGGTATTACCAAAACGTGGCAGCACAACAACTCAATTATAATAATTATAAATTGTAATTATTAATATAATTTTATTAAATGAATTAATGATTTTTTTTTCTGTATTTTTAGATCCTTTTTTAGGTTATAGGTTTATTATATTTTTTTTTTGTTTATATAAATTAGGAAATGAAATTAAAAAATGGGTTTTTATATTGTGTGGGCAAAATTAGATAATTAATTTTCTTACTAAACATTAAACTATGGTGTGAAATTACAAAAATGGGTATGGTAAGGGTAGAAGTTTTGCTCTAGCCAACGACTCAGCTACCTTAAATGAAACAATTTATAAATATATATAAAAAAAAAAAAATACAGTAATTAAAAATAAATAAATAAATATATTTATAAAATTAAAATAGGTGGCCATGCCGCTAGTCCTCGTCCACCCCTACTTTAATTTTTAGAATTATAATAATTAGATTGAAATTAAGCAATAAATTAAAACTAAATTCTCAAATTATAAAAATTAAATAGGTATAGATTATATTCCAATATTCCTATAAAAAAAACACAAGATTCTCTTTGGGGTAGGCTCCGAAAAGAGAAGCCTATCTGTGAATATTTGATTAATCCACCACACCTAAATGGTGTGAAAGTTATCTTATTTATAATTAAATAAATTACAAGGATATGGAAATAGTAATAAATAGAAATAACAATAAATGAAAAGATACCTATGATAATAAGGCAAATATTAGATATTTGACTTATAATAAAATATCAAATATAATATATATGGTAAACTATAATTTATTATTAAATATCCTTAACACCCTAAATCGAGAAGGAAGGCTGGAATGTCAACAGACGTTTATTATTGAATTCACCCTACTCGATATTACCCAATTTTGGAGCGTCGAATGGCAAAGTTAAGTCGTCAATCTCTAAAATGAACCATGTAATGTATTTTATCTACTGGGTCAGTGGTGGAATAATTTGATGATTTAATTAATTGAAAAAATAACAATTTTAAAAAAATAATAATAATAAAATAAATAAAATTAGGATAAAATTTAAAAAAATGGGAATAAATGGAAGGTAAATCAAAGAGGAGCTGAAGGACCCCCGTTTGTAGGAATAAAAGTAAGGCTTTTCTTCTTTCTTCAACCTCTTTTCTTCACCAACTTGCCATAGACGGAAGGTTGCAGAAGAATAAGAAGAAGAAGAGAGGCGGCCAGGATAATCGGAGGAGATTTCGATTCCTGAAGGAAGGTCGGAGTGCGATTGACAGTGACGTATAATTTCAAGGTTATCTCTTATTCTTCTTGGAACAAGCTTCAATTTCTCTGTCTTTTCGTTTAATTTTACATTGGGGGGTTTCCAAGTGCGATACTGTTAACACCATGATTCTTCTGATTCTTAGGAGCTGCTCTTTGATCTTCTTTCCTGGAATCGATTTTTCATTGGCTTTTCTTTTCCCCTGCAAATCCTTATCAGTTGCGCGTTTTTCATTCATGGGGTAAATTTTCTGATCATCTTAATTGATGTATTTTTAGCAGTTTTCTTGTTATGAAAATTAGATTTATATTGGGAGGAATCGATATCAAATTCTGCATTTGAGTTGTTTGCTTTTGGCTGCAAACAAGATCGGAAGACGAAGGGGGGGAGGGGGAAATGCTATGGTTTAGTTTAGCTTCTTTTATTAAGATCCTGTTAGTTCTGTTTGTGTTAATTGAAGGATTCTTGAGAACTTCTCCTCCAGGCTGATTTCCTGTAGCTGCCATGTTCTTCGTTGTTCAATTATTTTAAAAGGATGAGGCATCTCTCACTTTTTGGCTACTTTATGCTTAAAGTTAACTAAAAGTATTGTCTATTGTGATTGAGTATGCTTGATGTCTGTTGACCATGTTGAAGCTAATAACTTCGTTTAGACTTCTGCAGTGTTGTTTCTTGCACCATTCATATTATTAATTCATGTGTTTAGGCTTTGTGTTTATATCTTAATATACAGGCTTGTGTTGACCTAATGGTCAATAAGGATCAATGTAAATCGTAAATGGTTTGAAGGTATTATGAGGTCGTTACTCCGTTAGTATAATCAATAATTTCAATAACATTAAATGAACTTATGCCATGGTGACTGCTGACTTAGGATCTAATAATGTCCAAAGAGGAACATAGAATCTAGCAAGGGACTTAATACCTCAATTGACTCGCTATACCTTCTAAAGATCCTATTCTATCTCGCTCCCTACAACCTCCACATAAAAGCACAAACACCGGCATGCCATAAAAATTTTCCCATGCCGAAAGGGTAGATAGAGGATAAACCCCTCGATCATCTATGTAACAGCCCAAGCCCACCGCTAGGAGATATTGTCTTCTTTGGGTTTTCGCTCAAGGTTTTTAAGACGCGTCTGATAGGGAGAGGTTTTCACACCGTTATAAGGAATGCTTTGTTCTCATGAACTTATCCCACATCGATTGAAGAAGGGAACAAGTGCTAGCAAGGACGCCGGGTCCCGAAGGGGGTGGATTGTGAGATCTCACATCGGTTGGGGAGGAGAACAATGCATTTTTTTTATAAGGGTGTGGAAGCTTCTCCGTAGCAGACGCGTTTTAAAAACCTTGAGGTAAAGCCCGAAAGTGAAAACACAAAGAGGAGAATATCTTATAGCACTCGGCTTGTACCGTTCCAATCTAGTTGTAGTCTCTGTGAGTGGCAGATTGGAAATATCCTCTGACAACTAAATATAGTAGGGTTAAGTGGTTTTTTTCTAAAAATAGCCAAACAAAATCACAGCTCATATGTTAGGCACAGTATTGAGATCATATTGAAAAGGTTAAATTTACTTGGTGCAAACTATTGGAGTTTTGATTGAATTGTTCTTAGTTCTGCAAATACCAGTAGCTTTGGAATGTTGGCATATGCTACTTTGTCATCTGGAAAACTCGAAAGTGCTCGATCATTCAGATATTCCCCTAGTCGTGTTTTATTTTATGAAAAGTCCTGTCAAACTATTTGTAGTCATCTTCTCCCAGCTTACATGGTTGAAGCTTGGAAGGGATTGCCAGGTTAGATCAGATGTATAACTAGACAAGATTCCATAAAAATATTGCTCTGCACAGTTTCAGAAACCTCTGTGCTTATGGATGCTTTGTTTGTCATTAATGTTTTGTTTATTTAGTTGATAAACCATTTTAATCTGGTAATACTCATGTAACATATACAATTGCTTTACTGTTGTTATAAATCATCAGGTTTCCCATCGGCCATGTCACTGTGTTCGATCTAAGAAGTGATTCTTGATTATGAGACTTAACTATGCTAGAAAAATACATTATATTATTGAATCTGATTCAACTTTTTTTGTGTGGTGAAGATGAACTAAGGAATTGATTCCCCACTTTAAAATGGTTATTTATAGATATGCATAGTGTTTTAGCATTGATTTGATGAGACAAGGTGCCTGCAGGTATCACTTTTGAGTATGTATTTATCAGTTATATGATCACTTTTGGTTTGTAACAGAACAGTGGTTGTCTTGGATGCTACACAAAGCCGAAACTAAAAACTAAGCTCAACGAACCGTCGGAAGGTCAACCAATTCATTGTGATGGACTAGAGAAACCCAGCAGATCAGAGGATTTCTGGACTACTAGTACATTTGATGTGGACAACAGTGCAGGTCAATCACAAGGTAGTATGTCATCAATGAGTACAATCAACCAGATGCACAATCCACACGGTAGCTCGGGCAACGTACACAACCCCTCAGAATTCATAAATCATGGTGAGTATCTTCCCGCTCGCTCTATTCTTTCAAGCTCACCGTTAGCAGATATTGTCCTCATTGGGCTTTCCTTTTCGGGCTTCCCCTTAAGGTTTTTAAAACGCGTTTGCTAGGGAAAGGTTTCCACACCCTTATAAAGAATGTTTCGTTCTCCTCCTCAATCGATGTGGGATCTCACAATCCACCTCTTCAGGGCTTAGCGTTCTCGCTGGCATTCGTTCTTCTCTTCAATTGATGTGAGATCTCACAATCCACCCTCATTTGAACCCCAGCGTTCTCGTTGGCACACTGCCTAGTGTCTGGCTTGGATACCATTTCTAATGGCTCCAGCACACTGCTAGCAGATATTGTCCTTTTTGGACTTACCTTTCGGGTTTCCCCTCAAGGTTTTTAAAACGCATCTGCTATGAAGAGGTTTTCACACCTTTATAAAGAATGATTCGTTCACCTCCCCAACAGATGTGGGATCTCACAACTTAGGAGTCTTGGATCGTAAATGGACGATTTGTTTAAGTTACTAGAGTGTAATTCGCCAATTTGTTCATTTACTATACCTTTTTACGACCCGGTTCTCTCTTTAATTTTTCTATGTGATCATCCCATGGCTTTGAAGAATGGTATTGGCACAAGTAACTATTTTTTGATCTTGGTTGTAGGCTTTCTTCTGTGGAATCAAACTAGGCAACGCTGGACGGGGAATAGATCCGAAAACCGAGCACCGCAGTTTCAAGAACCCAAGCTAGAGTAAGCTGCTCTCTAGTCTGTCAGATTAACAAAATCGAACATCAGTACTTCGTTATAGTAATCTTACTCGGCTTTCCTATTGCAGCTGCAATGCAACATATGAAAATTTACTAGGGAGCAACAAGCCATTCCGCCAACCAATTCCACTCAGCGTAAGTTCTTGACCTGTCTAAACTCTTTCATGTTCTGGAAACCAAACCAACCTCGAACCGAATCATATCGTAGATTGATGTTGGTTAAAACGTGCAGGAAATGGTAGATTTTCTTGTGGATGTATGGGAACAAGAAGGGTTGTATGATTGATTAATTTGAAGAGTGCACAAGGCTTCATAGTCTCACTGTGAGTCAATGGCTTTATTTGAACCATCAAAATCTGCCTTGTATTGCTGAAACTTCAAATGAACATTTCCCCTGCTGCTGCCGACCCCTCTTTTTGGTGCTTGGTTTGATTTTCTCGTAGTGCCTTGGAGCTTTACATCTTTACTCTGCTGTAGAAAATTCAGCTGTGCTAGAAGTTACTGTTTTTGCAAATTATTTTTCTTTTCTTTCCTCTAAGTAATGATAAACAAATCTCAACATGAACGAACAGTAAATTAAATTACAAATTTACTCACTAAATTTTAAATTACTTTTGAAAGTTACCGTTTTAGTTCAATTTATTAAAAAAAAAAAAAATTATGATGGGTAGACACAAAATCGAATTTTTTTAATTTTGAAAAATTATAAAATTTATATTTATATTTAATGGATCAATTCGTGAAGTTTTGAATTTTTTAAAAATTTATTAGACTTAAAATTGTAAGCTATTCCCCTACCCGATAGTTATATACAGAAAGTCGTTGTTATCGTCTTTTGTTTGCATTCTCATATAATACTAATTTCAATTTCTCTCTCTTGTTGTCAAAACTCTTTTTCCAAAACTTCTCTCCCCCGCATTCTAAAATCTTCTCTTGAAATCGAGACTCGAAGTTTGTATTCACGTTACCCAACTGCAGGCAACGTAACTCAAAGTAGGCTTGACCCATGCAGTGCTGAGAGTGAGTGCCACACAATTGTCAAATTCGCTGCTTAGAAACCGCGATTGTAACCGTTGCTCCGAATTATAATTTACCATGACTAAATAAACCTAAATTTTATAGTTAGAATAATTAATTTATGATTTGAGTTATTTACTGTCTTGTTTTTTTTTATTTTTAAAATTTTATAAAACTTAAATATCAAAGCAAGTTATAATATATCATTAACTGTCGTTAGCATCGTCAAATATTTTTAATTTTTATAATATATTTAAAAGTATGGTAGGTTCGAGTTGGATTAGTTGGGTTGACCCAATCTCGACCTATTTTTTTGGTTTTTGGATTCTTATGATTTGAGTCAAACGAATTATTATGGTTGGGATTTAGTTATTATGGTTGGGATTTAAGTAAGTATTTATGAAATGGAAAAAATTAGTTGGACAAATTTTGGACAATTGGAATTTAATGAAGTTTTATTTAAAGGACAGATTGAGAAATGATAAGACACGACCACAAGTCTTTCCCAAATAAAGAAATCTACGAATGAATATGACTTGTCATTGTCAGCAAATAAGATCATTTGGGCCCACACTAACCATTCAGAATTTGACACGTGTACGTTGATTAATTCAGACCCCAACACAACGTGTCGCCCAGGGTCTTTTCTTTCGGTCATCATATCGCGGATTACAAGGATCTAAATCCTAGCCCTTCAAATTGATGACGGAAGTCGGAACTTCATTGATCTCAATCATCACCGTTGATTTCATTTTAGCCCTTCAATTCTTTATATTAATATTGTTTCAATCATTGCAATTTAAATGCTTAAAATTGCACATATATTCATTTGGGTCAAGGGAACATTTTTATGGTTGGCATCAAGTTTTCGGTTAGAAAAGAAGAACGAAACATCTCTTATGAGTCTGACGGCAATACGTAACAGACCAAAATGTACAATATCTGTTTACGATGGACTTGGGCTATCACATATGGTATCAGAACTAGTCATCTAACGACAATACGTAATAGGTCAAAATGTACAATATCTGTTTACGATGGGTTTGAGCTATCAGAACTAGTCACCGAACAGTGCAATGCACTTATCGAAGTAGGGCTAAACCCATGCATTTTAAAATTGTGGGACTGACAACGATAATGTTACGGGCCAAAATGTACAATATCTACTAGCAGTGGACTTAAGTTGTTACCTTATCTATCTCATATAACTCAAATTTTCCTAATTTTTATAATAATCTTAAAAGTAAGGTTGCATTGTAATCTTACTTACGCGTTTGTTTAGTTGACCAAACAAAAAAGTATCAACTTATTAACAAATTCGAATTCAACCCAAATCGAAAAAAAATTAACTTTTGGGTCCGGTTGAGTATTCTGAGTTGATCACATTTTCCGATCATACGAACACCCATAATTTTGATCCTACAAATGCTCCGTTAATAATTATTTATTAATTACTTTGTTATAATGTCTTATGGATCGTTGGGTTAACTTGTTCGGTTTTGTGAACCTTAATAATTAGCATAACTCGACTTATGGTTGTCTGTTTAGAGCATTTAGGTATGGAAGCGAGAACATTATGTTAGAGTTAACGTGTTTTAATATGAAACATTTATGAAAATTTTGTTGGAGTCTCACGTTAGTTGATTAAACGAAAGATGGTATATAAGTAAGAGTCATTATTTCTATTGGAATGTCTTAAACACACACCTTTTAAAAAAATTTGAAATCAAATAAATGAACTTGAAACTTGTAACTTATATGTAAAATTTAGTGTGAGATCTCGTATTTGTTGGAGAAGGGAACGAAATATTATTTATAAGGGCGTAAAAATCTCTCCCTAATAGTCGCATTTTAAAATTGTGAGATTGATGACTATACGTAACGGGCATAAGCGAATAATATCTACTAGCGGTGGATTTGGGTCACTATAAATGGTATTAGAGCCATCCACAAGGTGGTATATCAGCGAGGACGTTGGCCCTCAAGAGGGTAGATTGTGAAATCTCACATCAGTTAGAGAGGAGAACGAAGTATTCCTTATAAGAGTGTGAAAATCTCTCCCTAATAGAGGCGCTTTAAAACCGACGATATGTAACGGGTCAAAACAGGCAATATCTACTAGCGGTGGACTTGGACCGTTCCAATTAGTATCAGAGCCAAACATGGAGTGGTATGCTAGCAAGAACGTTGGGTTCCCAAGGGAGGTGGAGTGTGAGATCCTACATCTGTTGGAGAGGAGATTGAAACATTCATTGTAAAAGTGTGAAAACCTCATCCTAATAGACGCGTTTTAAAACTATGAGGCTGACGACGATACATAACAGACCAAAGCGAAAATATCCACTAACGATAAACTTAGGCCGTTACAAATTGTATGCGAAAATATCCACTAACGATAAATTTAGGCCGTTACAAATTGTATCAGAGCCAGACATGGGGGCACAACGAAGACACTGGACCCTCAAGGAGAGTGGATTGTGAGATCACAGATCGATTAGAGAGAGGAACAAACATTCGGGCGTGAAAATCTATTCCTAATAGACATGATTTAAAACTACGTAACGTGTCAAAACAGACAATATCTGTTAGCCGTAATTGAGCTCGAGAAACTAGACATTATGGGCTTAAAATAGAAGAGGGATGCAGCCCAAATTGAAGAAAAAGAGAAGGAAAAAAATGAAGTGGTCAGTTCAGTCATTCACTAACTGACATGAAGTCAGAGTAACAGTTCCCCAAAACCAAGCCAAGTAAGTGAATGCCCCCTTTTTGGCATCACCCTTCCTCTCTTCTATTTATGTCTCTTCCGCACCCGACATGTTTTAACCTTGTCCACTGATAGCTCTACCCTTGCACGATGGCTATGCCATTCCTCAAACTGGCTATTGTTCTTGCTGTGTTCTTCTTCTTCTTCTCAGCTGTTCCTCCCAAGTCAGGTATTGATGCATACAATCTCACATTTCTGGTTTTGTTATTCACTTCTAAAGACCCTTTTGTTCTTGAGTTCAGTTGGGTTGGTTTTGGAGGCAAACATGAAGATTGGTTCACGCCCGCCGGGATGTTTTCATAAGTGCATGAGTTGTAGGCCGTGCATGGCGGCGGCGGCGGTGGTGCCGGTGCATAAGATGAAGGGGAAGGCCTTCAATGCCATTGCTTCCTCTCGGGAGGAAGAGGATAGCTATTATCTTCTCTCGTGGAAATGCCAATGTGGGAATAAGATCTATCAACCCTAGCCTAGCCTAGCCTACCATTGTGAGATCGCACCGTCGCTTGGTTCGAGATAGGTAAAAAATTACTTTAAAAGATGTGGAAATTTCTCATTTACTAAAAAATGGAGAGCTCGAAAGGAAAAATTCAAACTTGAAGAAAAGCTCGAGAAAGTCCAAACAAGACAATATCGGTTAGTTGTAGACTTGGGCGGTTACAATTTGTCTTTTAATCGAAAGTATTTTTAAATTATTTGAGGTATCAAAATGTAATTTAAGTATGTAAATTTTTCATACCAATTTTCTTTTTATATATATTTAATGACAAAATTTTTGTATAAGACATTAATTATTATTTTAAAGTTTGGATGCATAAGTCTAATTTTTATTTTTATTTATTTATTTATTATTATTATTATTAAAGAAAAACCCTTGAGACTAGATTCCATATATATATTTTTTAATTTTAATATATTAAATTTGCAATATTTGGATCAATATGGGCCGAGTTAACCCATATCCACCAAGACGACTCACTAGATTTGGGCCGGCCCATGTGGCTTAAGCCCTTAATGGAAAGGAATAACTAATAAGTGAACAGAGAAATGGAATCGGAGTTGATGCTTCCATGCTCGGCTAATGGCAACGTTCTCAAGCTCTCTGCAACATTCTTCACAGTTCGTTACCGCCTTTCCTCTCTGTTCATGCTTCCATACTCGGCTGGTAACCGTCTTCTCTTCGCGTCGTCGCCGTCTTTCGCTTCCTTATGCTCTTCTTCGATCCTTGAGTTGCATCCGCCGTGTGTAGCGCAGCAATACGGCGGCCACCAGACTCCGATCCGCCTTCCGAGAAGGATCCGTTCGTCTAATAGGTTCCTTTCGTTGCTGATGTTATCTCCATTTTATTTGCTTAATGGGATGGATTTCTTGTGATAAGGCCTAAAAATTTTAGTGCATAGAAATAGTCTCGTCATAACTTATTTCTAGCGCTTTTGCACCGTAGGTGGAGAAGTCTGAGTTATCCTTGTTTCTATGGAAAGGTCTGCATAATCGAAAATGAAAATTATCAGCTCATGAATTTAGCTCGCCTTGTGCTAGTGGTCGTCATCGCTAGATACAATTAATAACAATGTTATTTATCCATTTTGATTTCTGGTAGTTTAGAAGTTAATCATCCATAAATATTGTTCGGATTTTTAGTCATCCGGAAATTTGTTAGGCCTTCGGATGCATATGTGCTTAGCCATAATATTAGCTTATGTTTTATTTGGAAAGTTTGTTAGGTAGGAAATTTTGCTCAATACGTTTTAAATATGTCGTAAATCATACCGGAAAAAAATTATCGCATTTGGAGCGTGCGATTCTGATGCATGTGCAGCTACTCTTTGGAATTTCTCATTTAGTATGTGAGCAGAGCAAATGCCAATTATGAAGAAATTCGTAAACTAAATCTGAGTATCCATGTTTAGCTGTAAGTGGAAAGGCATTTTCCGCATCCATGACAGTTGTTTTATTGGAAGAGTAATGGCTGTTTTTAGGATTCAAATTCAGTTCCGCGTGTAAGATGAAGGAAGAGTGTATTCTATTCTAGCCCCTTATATAGCTGCTGGCGATTTTTGGTCTTTAAAGGTGATAAATCACAATTCCGCCCAAATGTTCTAGCTGTTAAGCTTGGATAACGTAATTTTCTATTCAATTCATTTTCTAGAACTCTCTTCCGATTGTTGGCCAAATATTCATTTTTTGTTCATGATACCTAACATGTGGTCTTTTAATACGAAATGGGATGGTGGTGATATGAGAGTTATCTAGCTTTTCTACCTTAAATTGGTATACTTCTTCCGAACTGTTTTGTGAATGTAGCTCCCTGAGTATGGCAAATTTGAATGTTTGCTGCAATTTTCTTGCAATTCTAGGAGATTGTTTATCTTCATCTTTTCTAATAATCTTTTAATAATGAATTTAGTGTTTTGTTTAATAAAAAAAGAATGGAGAGACAGAGAAAGTGAAGGAACAGGAAGTGCCTTTTATTAGTTGTTCTTGAGTATCATTTTAGAGTGAATACGTGACCAAAGTAGATAAGGTTATTGTTGAATTGGTAACAATGAATCACGGAAGCATGACTGTGGATGCACAAAACTCGAAACAGTTTGGCAAGAATTAAGTGAGTAGCGACCAGTTCAAGAATGCTCCTGTGGAGTCTTACAAGCTTTGTTGATCATTTGGAATTTGAATTCGTACTGATTTTCTGATGGGTCTTAATGAGATTTGTACGACTAATTCGTGCACAAATTATTGTAATGAATCCTCGTTTGTCCATGACTAAAGTTTTCTCACTTTTGCAGGGAATGTTAGTCCTTCAGATCCTATTGCGTTAATTGCTGCTGCTGCTGCTGCTAAAAGAGATCTGCCAATGAAAATCATGGAAGAAAGGGACTCAACGCTCTGTTTGCAAAATCCGTTCACAGTCCAACTTTCTGACCAGCCTTAATACTAATCAATTCACACAGCTAATGGAGATGGGTTGAAGATGGTTGGGAGGGATTCTGATGTTGGCTAACTAAGGAGATATTATGAATTTATAAATAAGGAATATATTTTTAATGGTACGAAGATTTTTAGGAAATCAAAAGTACGTCTGTGAGTTTATGCTCAAAATGGACAGGATCACATCATGATGGAGATTTATGATTTTGAACATGGGTATCAAAGTCATGTTTTTAATTTAGCAATGTCAATAAAATCTTAAAGTATTGGACAAAGAAGTTGGGAGTTTCGAATGTGTAGTCAAAAGTGACTTAAGTGTCGAACAAGGGGTGTATTTTGTTCAATGGCTCTAGAGGAATCGAGCTTTAATCAAGAAGGATTTATGGTGTACTTTATTTTAGGGGAGGAATGTTGGGAGGGAGTCCCACATTGGCTAATTCCAATTTAGAAGAAGATGATCATGAGTAAGAATATATTATCATTGGTGCACGGCTTTTGGAGAAACTAAAATCAAAGGAACGAGAGTTCATATTTAAAGTAGACAATGTTATATCATTGTGAAGCATGTTGTCCACTCGTTTGCAATCGACTAAAAGAGAACCTATTCGGCTGCAACTGCTACCACTCATTCACCAGGTATTTGTTCTTTACCCTCGTCTCCCATTTCATCAAGCTTCCAGTTATATTTCCAATAATTCTGATTTTTGTATGCTTTTTGAGTCAAGTTTGATTTATATAACTCAAAGTTTTCAAAAACTTTTCCACATGCTAAAAGCTACAGTTTTGTTATTTCCGTCGGTACCACAAATTATCAAGAGCCGTCCACGTGTACAACGACACCAGAATGGTGGGTCCCCTGACTCTGGTGCGTTGCATCGACGTGTCGTACGGCAGGAGGTCGAAGCTTGCATTGGCCCTGTTGTGGTGAACCCACAGGTCGACGACTAACCCAAATATATCGATTTCACTGGCTCAGCCTTTTCCATGTTTGTCTTCATCCTTTGATGCCCATGTCTACGATCCAAATATTTCTGAAAAATAAATTTGCGCATTTCCCATTAAAGTTCATTTTTTTTTTACTTTTCCCTCACATTTTTAAATCCCTTTTAACTTCTAATTTTAAGGGATGGACTCTATGTTCTTTATTATCAAGCTAAAAACTCGTCATTTAAATATTTGAAATTAGTTTAATACCATAGTTTTGTAGTTACTTTTAATAGGATTAATATTTTAAATTTTAGTGTGTCAATCAAACTTGCAAATGTTTGTATTTTTGAATTTTTAGAATAAGTTTAATATATTATTGAAGCTTTATTTTTATTAGTTTATTGTTTTTCATCAAAATCAACAAAATTCTTTTAATTTTTATAGACAAAAATTTAGCCTTCCATCGCCGCCCCTATATAAATCTCTCCTGCCACTGATTCTAAGAATGGAGGCGTACCCATACTCTTTTGTCTCTGACACTTTGGTTCCATAAACTCCCATCAATAATTCTCACCCAATGCTTTGACTTCATAGTTCCACCTTCTTCTTCAATCCCATCTCCCAAAATTCCTTATTTCAAAGCCTACAATCATGCTGTTGAGAAGTTCTTCAACCCCAATTTTCAATTCTTGGCTTCACCAAACCAAATCCTCCCCTTCAGAATCGGACCAAATCCACCAGCTTCAAAGAACCAAGTCCCTCTCATTTCACCCTCCTCCAGCGCCTTTATTGAAAGAATCGGCGAACAGAGTTACTCAGAACTTGCTAGACTCAGATTCAGCAGATCCCAGAAAGAAGATTCCGGTACCGAGGAGTTGTAAAGCTCGATCAAAAGTGAAATCCAGGGAGAATGGAGTACCAGTTCGAGACCAAGAGCTCAAACCGGCGTTGGATTCGTCTTCGTCTTCGATTCATGGAGTGTTTTCTAATTCTGGGTTGGGTTTGAAATCTCCAAATGATGAGGTTCGCGATGAGAAGAGGGATGCATGTGTTCTGCAAACGCTGGTAGTCGGCGGTGGTATGGGGAGCGACGGTGGCCGGGTCTGTGGCGGCGGAAGAGGTTCGGACGGTGGTGGTGGAGGGGATAATGGTAGGTCGGGGTTTAACAATCACCATGGAAGCAATAGCACCGATGCTTATTATCAGAAGATGATTGAAGCGAACCCAAACAACGCTCTTCTACTTGGAAATTATGCCAAGTTCTTGAAAGAGGTACTTTGGTTATCTTGTTATCTCTTGAAAAATTCTTCAATGGCTCACCCTTCTGATTATGCTCTTCCATTTAGGTCCATGGAGATTTTTCCAAAGCCGAAGAGTTTTGTGGAAGGGCGATTCTGGCTGATCCGAACGATGCAAATATTCTATCGCTGTATGCCGATCTGATTTGGCATACACAGAAGGATGCTCAACGAGCTGAGACATATTTTGATCAAGCTGTTAAAAGTTCGCCAGATGATTGGTAAGGATAGATTAAAATTTCAGCTTGAGAACTGATTGATTCTGGTTTAATTTCCTAGAAAGAGATTTTGTTGTCTGGTGATTAATTCGTTTACTTTTGATTGTTCTTGATAATGGATCAATTTGATTTCGACATGAATTCAAGAACTTGAACAGATCATAACTTCAATGTCAATCCATTTACTTAACATTCATTGGTTGTGAACATTCCAATCTGTTTCTGGCTTGTATCTTTTCTTCAAGATTTGAGAAATTGATCTTCGTACCATGTGGTGTAGTCTAGTTGTCATCAATTTAAATCAATTACATTTTATAATTAGAATCTCCAAGTTAAACTTGTTTAAGTTCTTGATCAAGTGTTGAAATGGATAGAGTATTTCATAATTCTTTGCTTCTCTGTTTATGATATTGTTTCAATTCAAAGTTTATTTGGGTGTCACAAAATCTTCTTCTTTGTTTACAGCTATCTCCTAGCTTCATATGCACAGTTTCTTTGGAATGCCGATGTCGATGAAGATGACAATACAGCAGACCAGTATGAAACAGAGGAAAGCTGCCCGTCTCCGCCTGGTTTCGGTCATGGAGCTCCTCACCATTCTCCTCTGGCTGCAGCTTCATGATCTCACGAAATATGTAGCACTCTACTTTCCACTGTAAGATAACTAAAATAAAGCATCAGCTCATTACCCTCTTTTGCTTTTAGTGTATATGTAATTTTGGCTGAATGAGTATGATTCTCTAACTGTAGCCTTTCTATTACTTATCTTATGTAAAAAGTGAATAAATAAAGCTTCTCTGGCCTTTTTCCAGTATGTTGTATAGAGGAAGATTTAGTATCATCTTCCTTTTTAGCACTTGTTTTACCCTTGTCATAAAATTACTAATCTGAAGGTTTTATCAGTAACAACTGAACGGTCGAGATTGGACGTGGGTGTACAAGCCCCCAATCCCGATCCGAGTATGAGGAACTATGTGTTTGATTAAAGAATGAAAAAATAAAGTTGGTAGTATTTAGTACTTGATTTGGTTGGAATAGTGGAAGATTATAGGGATAGATTGGGTTGCAAATTGTAGCAAAGATCTTTTTCTTGTATGTGGCCATTTGCAGATATGCAGTGTTTGTGGTTTGTGGATGGTTTCATCAAATTTGGGTCACTTTTGATGTCATTATCTTTCATGCATCAACCAAGCTGTTCCAAAGCATGCTTTAAAGTATTTTTAATCTTGTAATATAAACTACAATTTTAGTTTTAGTACGTTCTTCACACTTTTACGTTAATTAGTATGAGATAGTTTGAAGTTAGAGATTTCGATTCTGATGTACTTTACTTATACTAAAGGCATCTATTTTAATTTGAATTGCTTACTTTATTCGACAGGCGTGATTAAGGAAAACGAACACGAAGACCCAGAAACTTCCAAGGGCAACATGAAGATACGACATACACGGTTAAATTTTACCTTTTGTCTTAATATATTTTCTATTTTTCAAGCGAGCTACTGAAGTATCTCTTAGCTTATCGCCGAGTTGACAGAACCAAAATAGAAAGGCTTCAAATTAGGCAAAACCGTTGAACCAGTCGACAATCGATGTGCCAAGATCGAGAGAGAGAAAAACATAGAAGACGCGGGAACCTGTTTGATATCTCACTTATACTAAAAGAGTATCCCATTTCAATTTTGATATGATATTATTAGGTAGGCTTTAATTTGTATTACTATTGAATGAAACAGTTTTAAGTGTTTAGGGAGAACTAATTGTTATCTTCTTCTCATCTTCCTCAAAACACAATTGCTTACAGCATGTGCTAAGCTGGTGTCTCACTTCCATTTTCCCATGCATTCACTGGTGGCTGTGTTTAAATTATTTATCTAATCTAATCTAATCTTATGCATTATTACTGAAAAGCTACTAAATTATAAATCATATATTTAACTTTAAAACATTATATGTCTCATTAATTATAACAATCATTTCAAGAAAGGATAGTTGTTGAATTTGCAAGTTATTTCTAAATCTTATTTAAATCATATCTCATTAACGTAATTTGTGGTGCACTAAAGAAGCAACTGATTGGAATGTTTAATTTGATAAATCAAACTAAAGCCAAAAAGTAAACATACTTCCAAAACTCCAATTAGTGCCATTTTGATTGGTATCTATAGTTTGATTGATATAATTTAAAGATCGGTTATGATTATTAACGTGGGGTTGAAAATAAAATGTCTCTATTTAGTACAGATGCACGATATAAACGAGTAGTAAATGGAAATATGACATTGTCTCAAGGAAACAAATCATAAATTCAAGTGCACGTTATCAATTAGTTGTTTTAAACTCTTCAGTGATGTCTAACGCACATTGGGCAAACCGAGTGGGTCATGTTGTTGGTGGATCATCATGAGAACGATGTTTTGCCCATGGTCTAACTCTTTAGTGATGTCTAACGCCCATTGTAGCGGGATCATCCGATAAGGATGCTTCACTCTCATTCCTCGCCTCAAAAGTTAACACCCTTAGTTTCGTTAAGGAGATACAAGTAAACTAAATATTTTTACTTTCTTTACACTTCCATAGGGCATGGATGTCGCCCTCAGCCTTTAGACAATCGCTATAGGAAAAGAAATTTTGTCGGGTTGGAAGAGCCTTGAGACAAGCTCGCCTCATAAAAATCTTCAATTTTTTAGGATGTTCTTACTTTACACTGTTAGATGAAAGTGTCCCATATTAGTTCATTTAGGGAATAGTCATGGGTTTATAATCTAAGAATACAATCTCCATTGAGATGAGGCCTTTTGGAAAGCCCAAAGCAAAAACATGAGAGCTTATGCTCAAAGTGGACAATATCATACTATTGTGGAGAGTCGTGTTCGTCTAACATGGTATCAGAGCCATGCCCTAAACTTAGCCGTACCAATAGATTGGCAAATCCTCGCATGTCGAACAAAGGACTCCAAAAAGAAAAAAGGAGTCAAAGCCTCCTCGAAGGTACGAAGGCAGTAAAAAATGATTAAGACTCCAAAGGGGTCGAGCCTCGATTAAGGGGAGACGTACTTTGTTCGAGGGGAGGTTAGATGAAAGTGTCCCACATTGGTTAATTTAGGGAATGGTCATGAGTTTATAATCTAAGAATACACTATCCATTGGTGGGGTCGAGCCTCGATTAAGGGGAGGCGTACTTTGTTCGAGGGGAGGTTAGATGAAAGTGTCCCACATTGGTTAATTTAGGGAATGGTCATAAGTTTATAATATAAGAATACACTATCCATTGGTTTGAGGTCTTTTGGGAAGCCCAAAGCAAAGTCAGAGCTTATGCTCAAAGCGGACAATATCATACCATTGTGGAGAGTCGTGTTCGTCTAACACACACCACATTCAACATAACCACAATTTCTTGGTTTGTGGAGGGGAGAACACAGAAGGGATGTTTTGCCGTATCCTCATTTCGTGCTCTATCTTCACACTTGATAACTCAGAGCATGACTCAGTAGATCATTCCAAAAATCATTGGTTTGAGGCTCCCGCCAAAGATGGTTTAACTATTATATATACATATGTATATATAGGTCTAGTAGTCTAATAAATGGGCTTTGATGAAAGTTTAACAAGGCCCAATGGTATATAATTCTATCTTAAATGGTTTAAGTAAATTTAGTTGTGGATGTATGATTATTTGACGATCGAAGGCGTTTACAAAGCGTACCTAAGACGAACGATTTCTTCGAGCGAGTGAAAGAAAGATGATTAAGGAAGATCCTCAAAACCCAGTTGAAGGAGCTAAACATGAAGTACCTTTTTCAAGCTTGGAAGAAATGGTGTTTCTCACTCTCTTTTCTCTTCTAACTTTTCGTTTTTAAGCTTTCGAATCTTGTTTTTATGTTGATTCTGTATCTGTGTCTCTAATTTTTGCTTGAATTTCATTTTCTTTGGTAAATTATACTCTGGGATTCGCTTTCTGCTGAGTTTTTTAGTTCTAGGGTTCTTCAATGGAATCGCTCTTTGCCGTTGCAGGGCTTTATGATTAGGATTTTCCCTTATTTAGGATGCATTTAGATTTGAAATTTGCTGCTTGTGGTGATGATTTCTGCCTTTCTGATGCTATTTTTCTGCCTTTCGGAGTGTTTTCTGTCGGTATCTTTGGTTCCGCCGCTACTCCTCTGCATCACAGGGGAGGAGTAATGGCAATAATGTTTCAAGCCGTGATTTCAGGCACATGGAGAAAGAAGTCTGATTATGTAATAAGGAATGAAGACAAGGGATTGATAGTTTCAAACTTAAGCTTTGGCCTGATCCTGGATGATGAAAGTCCCACATCGACTAATTTAGGGAATAATCATGCGTTTATAATCAGAGAATACTCTCTCCATTGGTTTGAGGCCGAATAATCTCTCCATTGGTTTGCCATTGGTTTGAGGCCAATGATCCTGGGTTTATAATCAGAGAATACTCTCTCCATTGGTTTCAAGCCTTTTGGGGAAACCCAAAGCAAAACCATGAGATGAGAGCTTATACTCGAAGTAGACAATATCATACTATTGTGGAGAGTCATGTTCAGCTAATATGCTATCAGAGTCATGCCCTAAACTTAGCCATATCCATGTAATCCTCAAATGTCGAACAAAGGACTCCAAAAGAAAAGGAGTTTGAGCCTCGATTAAGGAGAGGCGTACTTTGTTGAGGGGATGTGTTGGATGATGAGAGGTTATGCTCAAAGTGGACAATATCATACACATTGTGGAGAGTCATGTTCGTCTAACAGATCCTAAAACGAGGTCCATTTTCTGAAATAATTTGTTGTTTCTTCTATAGTTTTGCATAGAGAACTTGCCAATATTGTTTTGAATGATATACAAAAATCACCCATGCCCTGTCTTTACAAAACTAATGTTTCTCTAATGGCTGCAATTGTGATATTTCATGTTTTCTGTGCTTGTTAAGAATTACGACCCTCCATAATGGTACGATATTGTCCACTTTGAGTATATGCTCTCGTGGCTTTGCTTTTGGTTTACCCAAGAAGGCCTCATGTCGAGATGTATTCCTTACTTATAAATAACTAAAAAAGCCTGTATTCCGTGTATCCCTTACTTATAAACAACCAAAAGGCATGTATTCCTTACTTATAAACTCCCTTACTTATAAATTCATGATCATTCCTACCTTAGTCAATGTAGGACTCCTTCCCAACCATCCTCAACGGTTCTTGGTACCCAAGAAGCTCCTTCCCAACAATCCTCAACCCTTCTTACCCAAGAAGCTCCTTCCCAACCATCCTCAATGATATTATGTTCGTAGCACCCATGAGCGAGGAGATCAGGAATAGAAAACAGCTTGAGCAGTACTTGAAATCGCATTCTGAAGACGTTGCAGTATCGGATTTTGATTGGAGTACTGGTGAAACACCCAGGAGATCTGCTAGGATTAGTGAGAAGGCAAAGCAACTCCACAGCAGGAAGAGCCTCCAAGGAAACGAGTGAGATAATCTCCAAGTTCAAAAAAGAAGGAACACAAAGAAGCAGAGAAAGGTATTGATTCATGCTGTATGAAACAGGAAAAGGCCGACGTTTGTAATATTGAGGAAAATGGGGCTGCTGGACAAGAGAATTGCAGTAGAACTGAAAAAACACCAGCTTCCGATGGGACGATCACAGAAAAGGTAGACACACAAAGCACGACGTAAAACACAGTATCCAGTCTTAGAATAGAAGGAACAATAATGAAAGTGAAGTTACTCATCTCCCACGTCAGTTGGAGAAGGGAACGAAACATTTTTGCGGAAACCTCTCTCTAGTAGACACGTTTTAAAACCGTGAGGCTGACGACGATATGTAACGAACTTAAGCAGACAATATCTGCGGGTGGTAAACATTCCTTTTGGGGATTGCTGCTACGGCTCACTTGGTACTATTAGCTACTGATTTTTCCTTTCAGGGTCCCAGTTAGCTTAGTAATATGAACGTTTATTTCGAGTATTATGATGTAGATACGAACACAATCCTAGTTACCTCGTTCCACGAGTTCAAGTTGAAGACTACTTTCTGTACAAGACGAATGACAACATTTTTATTAGTATGTGAAAGCATTGTTTGAGCTTGATTTGTTTTAACAATAATGTGTTTCCATGAATGCAGGGAGATTTGATAGGTTGAACTTTCTCACCCACTCTTGGCTTCCACAAAATGGGAAAAACCTAAAAGCAAAAGAGGAGACTTAGGGAAGTGAAGGGAAAATATAGCATTTACTCGCGATCTAATGATACAACAAAACTGTCTGTCACGGTATGTTACGAGCCTCGAACTCTCCTTTACCCGTTACGATCTAATGATACAAAACTGTGGCAACCCTTTATGTCTCCTTGTCTGCCATTTTTATGAGCCCTCTCTAAACTGAATTATAATACAATTTTCCTTCCAAATGGGAAAACAAGAAAAAAAAATGAAGGCAATTAATTGGGGGTATGGTCCCCTCCTCCTTTGTTTATATTCTTATCTTCCAAAATAAAGATCCAAGTTGTAAGCAGTTTACTTTGACCGCCCACCGGCTTCCTCTCCCCTTCCACGGCCGCCGCCGTGTCTTCTTTTCTCCTTCACCCATTCTCCACGTTCATCAACACCCCTTCACGTCTTCCCTAATCTTCATACTTTTCCACACTTCATTCTCTATAAATTTCCACCCCTTTCTCCATTTAACAATCAACAACAAACACACTGCTTGTTATTATATTAACTAGCTCACTTCAGCCATGCCCGCCGCCGCCGCCGCCCCACTTCCTTTCCTTTTCTGTTTACTTCCGCTGCTTTTTCTTCAACATGCCACCGCTCAGACCACTCATGATGTCGGCGACTCCACCGGTTGGACTGTTCCACCCAGCGGCGCTGCTTTCTACTCCGACTGGGCTGCTAAAAACACCTTCTCTGTCGGCGATTCACTTCGTAAGACCTCCATCACTTTGCTTTTAGTTTCTCCAAAATATTTCGATGTATTCCTTACTTATAAATCCATGATCAACCCCTTAATTAGTCGGCCTCAAGATGTATTTCTTACTTATAGATCCATGATTGACCCTTTAATTAGCCGGCCTCGAGACCTCAAAACGTATTTCCTTACTTATAAATCCATGATCAACCCTCTAATTAGCCGACCTCGAGACCTCGAAACGTATTCCCTTACTTATAAATCCATGATCAACCTTCTATTTAGCTGACCTCGAAACATATTCTCTTACTTATAAATCGATGATCAACCCCTTAATTAAACTATATTAGTTTTGAATTTCAATATAATTGTTTTTGTTTGTGCAGGATTTGCCTTTACAACAGGATCGCACAGCGTACTCAAAGTATCATCAAAAGAATCGTTTGACGGTTGTAAGTTCGAGAACGGCAATGGAGATATCATGACGACAGGTCCGGCGACGGTGCCGCTCAACAGCACGGGCATGCACTACTTTGTTTGCACTATTGGTCCGCACTGTTCGCTTGGCCAAAAGGTAGCCATCAATGTCGGCTCCACCGCTGCCGGTGGTCCGATGTCACCCCCCCTGCCTGCCGCACAATCACCGCCGCCGTCGCCTTCCTCCGCCAATGCTCTGGCGGCAACCCTTTATCTCACTTTCTCCGCCGTTCTGATGGCCCTCTTTTAGATTGCATTTTTCATAATTACGTCAGATTGTTTAGTCCACAGATAGTGAGGGATTCCATTTCTTTTGTCTTCCAATAAATTTGCTCATTTTTGCCCCTTTTTTTTTTTAAATAAATTAATAATTAATCTATTAAATTTTATGTTTTAAGAATTTAATATGCCAGACTTGATAATTTAAAATTTTAACCAAAAAAAAAATATTATAAAATATTACTATCAATTTTACACAACATATCAATATTTTAAAATTTATCATATAAAAACTTTTTGCAACAATTCTTCAAACCAAAATGACGTGTTTTTGCTTACATTTCCATAACACCAATTTTTCAAATATTTTCAAAACTTTCGTTCAAAATCTCTGTCCCCGTTTTTTAAGCTCCTATTTTCTAAAATTTTCATCTTGAATCGGGGCTAAAGGTTCGAGCATGTCGCTTGATGTTGGGAAGTGAATGCCATACAATCGAGTCCGCTTGCTATCAAAGTGCCGATTGTGACAAGTGGTCTAAATGAAATTAAAATTTTGTAATTAAATTTGAAATAATTTGTGAGCCATAAAGTTTGATTTACTTACTTTGCAATATGAATCCACTGATTTTTTCACATGATTTTTTATTCTTTCTTTTTGTCATAGATGTTCTTAAAAAAATCAAAGTCAATTTTGTAAACTAAAAAAATAGACCCATTTAATAACTATTTGACTTTTAATTAATTATTTTCTAAATTAAAAAACTCTCTATATATATATTAATATTTAAAAAATGGCTTGAATTATTAATTGGAAATTAAAAAATAATATATGAGTGATATTGTAGTAGATAATAATAACCATAGATACTTTTGTGGTGTTGAGAAGAGGAGTGGGCCCATGAAATAAGTGGGTATCCCATTATACATATGGGTGAAAACAAAACACCCATGCTTATAATTTAATGGTTTACAATTAAATCAAATCTAAATTTAATGGAGTTAGGTTACCCAATTCCATCAATCATAATTATCATTTTTCTAAATATTAATTTACCAAGTTCTTCAAATGCATTAATAATAATTATAAGATCCTATTTTAAATCATAATAATAATAATAATATAAACACTTTTACACAAATTTTATAATTTAACCTAAATTACTCATGTTGTTTTACTAATTATTATCCGTACGTTTCAATAATATGATAACCATACATACATACATACATACATACATGCCAAGGAGGAGGCAAGGCGAATGCATATGATATGCATTGGTGGGCCCCGGGGGGCTTTTCCATCAACAGGCAGAATTATTTCTAAAAGGAGAAAAATCCAAGAAGAAAAATGAAAAAGGGTCTAATCCCCTGCGGTAGGATCCATTTCAGTACCGTCGTCATCAAAACTGTCACCGTTGATCTGATCAAGGATGAGCACCAACCCCATGGCGAATGCCCCATCGAAGCCTGGCTTGAGGATGAGAGAGAAGACGTCCTTCCCAAGCACCACGTTAGTGGTAGCATCTACTTTGCGTTTAATCTCAGCCATTGGTTCCTTTGCCGCTTTGAAGATCGTGCAGTTACGGTTACCGAAACACCCCTCGATCTGGTACTCGTCGCCGGAACCCTTGAACACCTCCACCGTCATGCTCGACCGTCCGATTATCGACGAACGTCTCACGTTGAAGATTGGCTTCTGTCCTTCCGTTCTCTCCCCTACGAAACCTTCCCACCGGTGATGTAGACTCGGCCTCTGTTTGTCATTTCTTTCTAGTTATTCATCGATTTTTCTGGCGCACTTACAGTTTAACTATGGAAATCGAAAATAAACAATGAAAACTGAATCACAAATGGCTTCGATTCAGCATGAGGATAACCGAGCCAGGTCTCTCGGCTCGATGCGCCTCAGTCAATCGCACTCGATTATTGTTGCAGCAAAGAAATCCAGAATCTCATTTCCGAGGCAAAAAATTCAAAATCTAGCAACTAAAATCATGGAGTAACTCGCCGAGTGGAATCAGAGAAATTAAAACCAGAAAATAACCAGAGTGAATCGCAGAGGGAAAGGAATCGGATCCAGAATCATCAATCTCAACAAGAACAGAGGAAACGATTCTAAAAACTATGGAATCGAGTAGAGATTCGAATAGGCAAAACAGAAACGAGAATGAAGGAGGAGATAAGCGAGAGGCATTAGTATTACCTTCCGGCGGACAGTGAGGAGGCACTTGCCTTGCGCGTCCATGAGAACGATTTCATCCTTCTCGCGCGCATCTGGACCGTAGGAATCGACTCTGAACACGAGCTCGCCCTTGCAATCATAGACGGTAAAGCCATCGCCTGCAAAGAAGAGAGAGGTTTTCATAACAGTGAGATGTTTCTCCTCGTTATACACGAAGGTATCATCCACGATTACGCCTAATTCTTCCATCTTCTTCTGCAAGCCTAGAAGCTTTCTTTCTGCAACTGAACAACAAAGAATGTGAAAGAGCTTCGGTAATTGTAGGTCGTTAACTGGAAGGAGACGAAATTGAGAGCGACGAGATGAAGATGGGAAGAATTTATATTTTGGGCGGTGAGTTCTGGATCTCATGAAAATTAATACTAATAAATGGAATCTGATAATAATACAATTTTAAAAGACTGAAAGCATATAAATACTATTTTTCGTTTAATTCGAATATTTTATTGATTAAAACTGTGACCAAAATCTAAGATATTGTTCTTCATGTTCATTGTTAAATCACAAAATATAAAATAATGTCATGAGTGTGTATCAGTGTTTGATCGTTGGGATACTCTCCATAATAGTATGATATTGTCCACTTTGAACATAAGCTCTCATGCCAAAAAGCCTCAAACTAATGGAGTTAGTATTCCTAAATTAGCAGACGTGGGACTTTCATCATCCAACATTAACATCATAATTTCTTGTCTTTTCAGATTAAGATATTGTTCTTCATCATGTCTGAATTTTTTTTAAAAATAAATTTTTATTTTGATTTTATTTAATAGATTAAAATTAGATCAAATATTAATTTAAATGTTATGTCTAATAGATTAATCAATCGTGAGATACAAAGCTCAGACTATAGATTCAGGGTTCTCTCAAAAATATGAACTACACTGTGAGGAAACGTTTAGTCTAGTGGCAAAGATTACTATCGTACAAGTTCCTCCCGCACTTGTGACAAATAAAGATTGGAAATTTTGGCAAATAGATATGAAGAATATATTCTTGCATGGACCAACCAAATGCATTTGAAAACGAAGTTGGAGTCATTAGTCAGTATATGAGAAGTCCGAAGAAGTCTCATCTTGATGCAGCTCAACAGACCTTGAGATATGTCAAAGGTACAATAAATTACGATCCTTCATATAAAAGAAGCGAAGACTACAAGCTAGTTAGATAGCATGATGTTGACTATGCAAGAGACTATGATACTCGAAGATCAATCACTGGGTATGTGTTCAAGCTCGGTTCGAGAACAATTTCATGGTGTAACAAAAGACAATCAACTGTATCATTGTCAACTAGAGAAACATAGTACAAAGTAGCGACGGGAGCAGCTCAGAAATGTACATGGCTGAAACTTCTGATAGAAGATTGACACCAGAAAGTTGACTATTCAATACCACTTCAATGCGACAACCAATATTTAGTAGAAAAATCGATGTTTCATAGCAGAACAAAGCATCGTGGAGAGTCGTGTTAATTTTAATGTTAGTATAAATTAAAAAAATCTGTCAGATCTTAAACTTTTAATATAATATCATTATTTACGTTAAATATATTTAAAAAATTAAAAATATGCTATGTTTCTTGAGCTATTATTTATTATATTTTGGTAGAGGGTAATGGAAAAATGAAATTATTATTGCTTTAATGCATTAACTTAAATAATAAAAATAAATAAATAAAAATAAAATAACGTTGTTTTATTTATTTATCTCTGATTTCCTTATATATATATATATTGGAGAAATTGTATAAAATTATTTACTATTAAGAAATAAAACTCCATAATATTTGTAGGTTTATTATAGACAATAAATAAATTATTGCTTTTAATTTTCATATTTTTAGAACAACATCGTAGCAATTTCTATTTTTAATATCTGAATTTAGAATTCAACTTAAAATTAAAATTAATAAATATTTGTAATTTAACTTATTAATGTAATTATATAATCATTGATAATATAACTTAATTTAGCGAGTTTAATATTATACTAATTTATTATTAAAAAAGAAATCAAATCTAAAAAGGTTAGGTTCTAGAAGATTTGAAAGCAAAAATATACCAAAAACATTATAACTTATGGCCAACTAGAAAGTGATTATAACTTCTAAAGGTAAATTAGGTAAACTAATTACATTTATATTATTTTTTTTTCCGAGCTTTTTGGTATATTTTGTTTTATTTGAATGTTCGTGATTTAAGACATTAAATTAATCTCAATAATTATTGTTATCGAGTGATTCACGTTTAATAAAATTAAAAAGTCAAATTTAATATTATTTAAAAATATTATTTTAGCATAAAATAAGAAAAAAATAATCTCATGAAAGTTTTTTCCTCCATATTTAGTTGACTTGGAAAAAGAAAAATCATGTCAAATTTCCAATAGTCGTTGAAATCATTGCAACCAATAAAGTCAATATTGGGTGATAAAAAAGATTTTTATATTAATAAAAATATTTTTTAATTTTATATTTTATCTTAAATTATTTTAATTTTTTTTTAAAGTTTTAAAAAAATTTCAACTTAATATATATATATATATATATATATACTTTAAAAAATGTTAAAAAAAATTCTTTTGATTTTTAAAAATGTTTATTTTTAGTTTTTAAAAGTTCAATTAATATATTTTAAAAAATTTAAAATATTCAAAAACATTTAAACTTACAAAAAGTTAAAAAAAATATATTTATGATTAGTATTACCATTATTTAAAAAGTTCAGAAATAATCTATGAGGTGTTGAGTTAATATTATTTTTTAAAATTTAATGTGTATTTTTTAAACACAGTACTAACAATAAAAATATTTTTTGACTTTTTAAAAAGTTGAAGTATATTAATACTCTTTTTAAAAAATTTAAAGATATTTTTAAAATAAAA